TTCTCGTGTATATTCTGTTGTTGTATTTCTAGTGTACATTCTGTTGTTGTATTTCTCGTGTACATTCTGTTGTTGTATTTCTAGTGTACATTCTGTTGTTGTATTTCTAGTGTACATTCTGTTGTTGTATTTCTCGTGTACATTCTGTTGTTGTATTTCTCGTGTATATTCTGTTGTTGTATTTCTAGTGTACATTCTGTTGTTGTATTTCTAGTGTACATTCTGTTGTTGTATTTCTCGTGTACATTCTGTTGTTGTATTTCTCGTGTACATTCTGTTGTTGTATTTCTCGTGTACATTCTGTTGTTGTATTTCTAGTGAACATTCTGTTGTTGTATTTCTAGTGTACATTCTGTTGTTGTATTTCTGGTGTATATTCTGTTGTTGTATTTCTCGTGTACATTCTGTTGTTGTATTTCTCGTGTACATTCTGTTGTTGTATTTCTCGTGTACATTCTGTTGTTGTGTTAGGAATTTAAATATAAAAAAATTCTAGAACAACCACCCATTTTTTTTTTCTTTTAAAATTTCCGTTGTGAATTTTTTTTTTTATAGATTTCGATTTCATCTATGGCAAATAAAAAAACAACAACACAGGAATCCTGCCCCCACCACCAACGTTTTGTTTTAAAGCTACAGCTTGACAAATTGTTATACATTTTGACCTTTTGCATTGCATACTCATCTAAACCACCTGTTCTTATAGAACTTTATAAAAAAAAAAAAAACAAGTTTATAAATTAGGTTGATTGAATATTCAGCGAGCACTTTTCAATGGATTTGATAATTTTAAACAACTGACATTTTATAATTACCTACACTTTTGTGTGTGTTACAAGTGGAATTATAGGCTACGTCATTTTTAAATAGCAATTTTACAGCTTCACCTTGTGAAGTTGTTGCACTGTTTAGTTGGTGTATGACACTTGTGTAGCAAAGTTAGAATACATCTAAATCCCTCTGACGGACAGTGAGCCACGATTACGGTCGCCGTGGTCGAGTCGGTAAAGCTCATGGTTGCTAAGCCGTAAAGTCTCGAGTTCGAACCCCCGGGCAGATGAGGGTAGCAACTCCTCTAGTGGAGACAACTCTAAAATCAAACAACTGCTTCCTTGTAGTTTGTTCTTGGTTGGGCAAAGCTATGGAAGCAAATCTAAAAAGCATAACAGGCTGAAATTGGAGTCAATGGCATATATGGCACATAACAAGTTGTCACGTATACTTAATTGTGTTAGAGGGAATACCTTCCAACATTAAAAAATAAGAATGAATAATAAACAGAAGATTAAGTGACAAGTCTTATACGATGTTTTTTTTTCCCCAGCTGAGTGTGATCAGAAAGGAGATCGAAGGAGCCGCAGCCGTTTCGCCCAAAGAAAAAAAGACAGTTTTCGGTCGTAAAAAACCCGACCTGGTGATAGGCCATAATAACAATCAAGGTCACAGACCTGACCTTGAGGAGCAGGCCTTATCTTTGTCGTCTGTTCTACAAGCCCTGGACACGTGCATCACCTCCCACGGGGTGCCCAGCCCGGGGGAGACAGACTTCACAGAGAACGTGCATAAGAAACTAGCCCAGCGTCACTCCGCGGAAAACGCTCAAGTTTCAACCCTCGCCACAGACACCAAGCACACGAGTCTGTACAACTTCGACAGCGACACGACCAAGTCCAAAGAGAAAGACATCAACCGAACAACGAGCTTAAAGTCCAGTTTTCAAAATCTGGCACACCGAACTTTCGCAAAAGCCAACTGGAGCCGCGTCAAAAAGTCTTCAAGCCCCCCAACGGATAAAGTGAAAACATCGCTCTCCGCCTCGACCAATCAGCTTTCAGAGCTGACACCGGATGTGATTGACATGACCAACAACAACGGTCAACCCAACGGTAAAGTGTCATTCATGCTTGACGGCACCGACATTCCAGCGCCGCCGGACTCTTTCAGGACCGATCCCCGGGTCTCCACCAGCACCTTGCCCAGCCGGAAGAAACACAGCACCTTGTTGATCAAACAGCCCAAGAGCCTGGAGAGCGCTGACTCCAGTCTGTCCAACTCTTTAAACAGCCTGGAGAGTTTCCAGTCCAGGCTGGCCTTGTCGGCGTCCTACCCCTCACTGCTGCAGCAGTCCCCTTACCCCTCCCTGCTGCAGCAGTCCCCCTACCCCTCGCTCCTACAGTCCCCCTACCCCTCCCTCCCGCACCAGTCCAGTGCAGACAGTGACACGTCCTACCTGAGCAAGTCCACGGGACGCTACTCCGTGACCCACTCGCCCAGGGGCGGGGACCAGAACAAAATGGCCCTGACCTCTGGCAAGAAAAACGGGTTGAGTTCCAGAGCGCCATCCACGAAGAGAGAGGTCAACCCGAACACACTGGCACAAATTGAGGTGAGGAATATAGTTCTTGCTTTATCAGCTGTTATTTTTCTTAATATTACCACGGTATTTTGATTTTAAAAATAATTTCATACTCAATATTTTAAGTACCAAATGCAAATTATTAGATTTTCGACTCAGGGGAAATAATTCAATACAGTAATCTTTCTTGTAATTATAATGCTTATTGCCCTTGAAATATTTTTTTTTAAATTATATAATCTGTTAAATCCAATAAAAATAAATAGATAAGAAAGGTTTACCAACTGGTTTAAAAAGTTAATACGTAAATTAGTATTGTTCCTATGAATATTATAGTAGGAAAAACAAGGTTATTTGTAATGTGTATACCAGAATTATTTGTTTTTATTAAGAAAACAAGATATTAATTACGAGTGATAAATGCAGCAGTCTTTACATTTTGTCAAATATTTAATTACAACCTAATTAGTTGAATTTTATTTTTCAGGCTTTTGAAGAACTCTCGATGAAGTTTTTAGCAGAGTTAAAATGACGTCATCACCATTTTCATGTTTTAATCAATTGTCTGAATGGATTTTTATTTTCAAACTGGCAGCCAAATATGTTGTATAAATGAAATGCTAAACTGTTGTAATATATATTTCTAATTGTCACATTTACCACTTTGTAACAAAAATTTTAAGCAATAAAATAACAATGTAATTAATTTATATTGATAAACCTGACTTCTTAGCGTTAATTATTGTGTAGTTATTGTTTTGTGGCTAAAGTTTAAGACTACTTGGAAAACATAGCTCACTTGATGTCACCTTATCTACTGAGCCACAGGTAATTTTTGACAGAAACATGCAGATTTTAACCAGGTGTGGTGTATAGTGGTGTGTGTTAACTAGAAGATTTAGTTATTCCAGTCAATTATTTCTTTACATTCGTATTATAAGGCTGCAGAAATAGATGAACTCTACTTCATCTGCCTGTTTATTTTTTTTTATCCAATGGCTTTTTAAGAATAATATTCATTGTGAGTGAGCGAGAGTTAGCCTGGTTATATATTTTTAAATTTTTCCCAGTGAAGGCGGTTGTTTAGAGTTATGGTTACTTTTATAACTTTGTAACTATCCGATTTATGGTTACTCTTATAACTTTGTAAGTATCCGATTTATGGTTACTCTTATAACTTTGTAAGTATCCGATTTATGGTTACTCTTATAACTTTGTAGATTTTACCGCAAGACGTTCTCGCTTGAGCTAACATCACTGAAACTTTCCGTTAGTTTCAAAGCTGCTCATTCTAAATCTCAAAGATCAACATATTGACCAACTCCATTTTCTCGTGAGCTAATGAAAAACAACAATCTAGCACTCAACCAACTTCAAGAACAGATTTTTAAAAAACGCGTTATTTTACTCATTTATAACACTTTATTCAGTTGTTGCACATTCATACATCAGCAACACACACAACTGTGAGAGGCAGGTAGGTTTTCAGTGGTTGTACGTCTTCATCGTTGTTGTTCTCTCTCACAGGTTGCGGTGCTGCTGTTACAGTTCTGTGAGAAAAAAAAATAAACAAAATTAAACAGGAAATTATAAAATTATATTAACGACACTTGATTGCGATTAATTAAAAACCTTAATTTTTTAAATGTACTTTGGATTTTTTTTTAGTTACAAAAATTTGAATTAGAAACCATAGTAATTAACCATAGTAATTAATGAAGTTAATTAAGAAGCTTGTGTTACCGTGTTTGGTTGCCATCGCCGAGGAATTATTTTCCGGGAGCAATGCCACCACCGGCGGCGGGTGGGGCGAGGGCGCCAGACGCGATAAGTAACGCCAGGGCCGAGGTCAGCCCACCACTGCTGCTCTTGCATTTGGCTTCAGCGACGTCAGATACCAGGACCATACTCACTGGGGGTAGGGGAGGTGGGGTGGTTAGAGGGTGATAGGGGAGGTGGGGGTGGTTAGAGGGTGATAGGGGAGGTGGGGTGGTTAGAGGGTGGTAGGGGAGGTGGGGTGGTTAGAGGGTGAAGGTTTATGGATGCAGGGTTGGAAGGATAGAACAGTAGTTGGGAAGTTTAAATTGAAGGATGAGGGTTTATGAATAGAGGATTAGAAGGATAGAACAGTAGTTGAGAGGTTTAGATTTAAGGATGAGGGTTTATGGATAGAGGATTAGAAGGATAGAACAGTAGTTGGGGAGTTTAGATTTAAGGATGAGGGTTGAAGGGTCATAATGTTTAGGTGAATGATTGTATACTTAGGTTAATGATTGAATGTTTAGAGAGTCGAAGATTTTGGTTGTTGAATGTTTAGAGGACAGATGTTTAGATTAAAGATTGAATATTTGGAGACAGAAAACTAAAAGCATGAAACAGTACTTGGAGGGTTCAGAGGATTACAGAGGCTTTGGCAGAATAGTTCATCAAACTAGGGCTAACTCTAGTGTATAATGTTAAACTAGGGATGGCTCTAGTGTACAATGTTAAACTAGGGCTGGCTCTAGTGTATAATGTTAAACTAGAGCTAGCCCTTGGGTATAATGTTAAACAAAACTCACCAACAAAAATGACCAGAAGGAATGCAATGGTGAAGGATTTCATCTTCTGTTATCTGAGGAAAGGCATACAGATTATTTTTTTAAAGCTGTTAACAAACTAAAAACATAAGGCTGTTAAGTTTCGTTTTTGCTTAAAGATGTTTGCCTTTCGGGTTTTAATTAGACAACATACAAATTTACATAATTTCTTTTATAAAATATGGCAATGGTCATTTCTTTATACTTTTCGCAGTTTAAACAAGCTTGTATAAATGAGCAATGAAAAATCTAATCAATGAGTGTGTAAATTGCATTGGTAAATTCAACACAGGTTTTGTCTAGTAAACTATCTACACTCCAATCACATTACGCTATACGCCATTCATCGACTTAAATCTTTCTCAATACTTTTTGGCCTAAGTTAACCTCTAACTAAATTCATCCAGGCATGTTTAGCTGTCTTCCTTCAAAGAAACCTGGTAATTAATAGCCTCTGCTCTAAGATGCAGGCAATTAGATGCATCTCATTAGCATATTTGTGTCAGTTTTGTCAATGTTAGTTTAAACACATTCATTTTATGACAAAAACTTACAAAATATGTTTACTTCTAGTAGTACATTATTTTAATACCTAACTTTAGCTGCTTTAAACAGTTGACAAAAACATTCCGAAGTGTCCTTTAAAGTCGGAATATAAATGATTGCACATGCATTCACAATTTTTTAGAAAATGCACTTTTAAAATTAAAAAAAAAAGCAATATCAACTCGTTAACTAAGTAATGCATGCGTATATATAATTTTTTGTATGCTAATTTATGCGGTATAAGAGTTTGAAACTATCTCAGTTTGTTTTTAAAAAATTATTTTGGCAACAACATAAAGACCGTGGTAAATAGGAACTTTTCCGAGGTAAAGTTAAATATGAGAAAATGAAATAAAATATGTTAAATATTTAGAACAACTCAGAAATTTCTCGAACTAACGCCGAAGTTAAGCAAATAAAACAAAATGTGAGTTCAAATATTTAACTGAGCACTGAATTGCCTTACCTGAGGTTGAGTTGTCAAATTGCTGATTGGAGGGAGGATGTCGATCTGACTAAAACTTTTCCCCTTTTTATAGTCGAAACTGGCCAGTCAACTACAACATCGCTCTGATTTGATTGGTCGAAATATTATAAGCAATTTCGTACGTGCCTTGTTAAAATAAAGCTAACGACAAAAGATTTCAATGAGTAGACAGGTTCAAAGTGTTTATTAATGTGTATGTCCCTGTGTAGCTAAGCGAGACAACACGTAGGATTGAATGCTCGCTGCATGCACGCCAGGTGTGTGGGGGAGGGGGGACAGGGGTAATCCGTAGGACCAGGACAAAGTCACGCTACTGACAGGGGTCACTACATGTCCAGACAAAGATCACTGCGTGACCCATACTTTCTGACACGTGTGGCAATTAGAAATGCGGAACAAAAAAAAAATTTAATTTTTACTTTGAGTTCGATCTAAAGATTGTATGTCGTTTGGTTTGAATAGTGTTAGTACGTTCATCGTCTCCACGTATATACTGTATGTTAGGTTTTAGTCATGTATGTATGTTGTGGATATGGTCTGCATATAAATGTTTTATTAAGTGACATTTTCTTAGCCTTAGGACTATGCCAGCAAAGTTCTAAAGCAGGGGTTCTTAACTTTTTTAAAGATACCCAACCCCACCAGTTTCCTACGTGCATTCACCGAACCCTTCGCCATAGTTTTATCGTCCACAGTGGCAAAATCCGATCGTGAACCATGAGTTTGGAGTGTGTATTGACCTCCGCCGAACCCCTGGGACTGACTCACCGAACCCCATAAGGTTCGCTGGAACTCAGGCTAAGGACCACTGGTCTAGAGAGAGAATCACGAAACACGGGCAACACGTGATCTCCTCGTCTATAGCCCAGGTACGGGCTGAGAGGATTTGACCTCTTTGTGTGCTTCCAGCGTCTCTCGTTGGGAAGAAAAGAAGCCATTTTCTTTTATGTGTGTTTTATATGTTCATGATATTCATAAATGTGTGTTGGGTCTTTTGATTATTCGCATAGGTGATGTTGTATATAAGGGTTACTTACATGTTTTCATTGCATGTTGTTATTATTTCTAAGTCTATGTTTGTGAATATGTTTGTGTATTTTTTGTACTTGTAAACTGTAAGTTACAGATTATGTTTGTGCATATGCTATACTGATAAACTGTTCGTTTACATACTACACTTGTAAACTGTATGGTACGGAGTATGATTGTGTATATATTTTACTGGTATCCTGTATGTTACACAACACGTTTGTGTATGTGTTGTACTGGTAAAATGTATAATACAGAATATATTTGCGAGTGTTTTATATACAGGTGTACTGTTATATGCCCAAATAATGCCCTTCATAGCCCGAACATAACACACACCTTATGCCAGCACCTAATGCCCAACCTATGCCCAACCTACACCCAACCTACGCCCAAACTATGCCCATCGTACTTCTCAAGTCAACTGCCCGATCTCAGCATGGCCAACAGTATGGCTTAGCTTATGTACCGAAACATGGCCTAAAATATGGCTCTCAACATGGCCAACATTATGGCCTAAAACATGGCTCTCAACATGGCCAACATTATTGCCTAAAACATGGCTCTCAACATGACCAACATAATGGCTTAAAACCATGTATTGAAACACGGCTTAAAACATTGCTGACCACACAATCGCTTGTTTACCTGTATCAACAAAACAGACACCATTCTTCTCATCTAGGCTTAAGACAATCAGGTTTGAAAGTGTACTTTAATACACATCGACAAAACAGATACAAGTCTTCTCATTTATGCTTAAGAAAATCAAGCTTGAAAATGTACTTTAATACACATCGACAAAAACTGAATACCGAATCTTAGCTGCCTTCTATCTTGTTAACCCCAGCCATATATTCGAACCCTAACTACACTACAGCTTGACCACACATAACCACATAGTTATTGCGCTATATAACAACAATCGGTTATATGTACAAACACAACAGTTATAATTTTGCTTGAGATACGTGGATGTACACATAGGTTGTTTGGACTATCTCCCTGTAATCGGCCTAAAAAAAAAACGTATATGGGAAAGCTTCAATGGTATAGATGACGTCAAAACAAGTTGCATGATATTTGAAATGGTGTTTTGTGGTGTATAAAGTAAAGATGGTTGACGATTTAGGGACAGATGGTAATTACAGTTATTAATGGCCCACTAGATTAAGCCACAGAATATTGTATTATAACTAACACACTTCCCTTGTCGACGTGTTAATAATACCTGTAGCTACCAGTTTTTTACCTGCGTTTTCCCTACATTTGAGATGCAGTTACCTGTAGTTACATGTAGTTTATCTGTAATTTGCATGTAGTTTATCTGTAGTTTCCCTGTAGTTTACATGTAATTTACATGTAATTACATGTAATTTACATGTAATTTATCTGTAATTTACCAGTTTTACCAATAGTTTACCTTTAGTTTACCTTTAGTTTACCTGTAGTTCACCAGAAGTTTCCCTTTAGTTTCACTATAGTTTACCTGAAGTTTCCATTTAGTTTACCTGTAGTTTACTGTAGTTTACCTGTAGTTTACCTTTAGTTTCCCTTTAGTTTACCTGTAGTTTACCTGTAGTTTACCTGTAACTACCAAACACCTTTATTATTAGCTAAATTGTAAGACTGGTCTGCAGTTAGTCTTAGAGAATAAGTTGTAAAAACGCGTTGAAGTAGTTCGTCTTAGAATCAAGAAGTTAAATAATATCTACTTTTAAAGTGTAAATACTATCGCAAAACATTATTGTCTTAAAAACACAACCCATTTTTAATTGTACTAGCTCCAAAAAATTAACCATTCCAGTTTGCTTGAAATACATATTTCATATATTTTAATTTTTATGTTGCGTAAACGCCTAGCCTGGCATGTAATAAATAAAAAAATAGATTCAACCCCACGCCAGCTCCAACAACTGTCAATCAGGCTTTACCTGTGCCACCAGATTCACACACCCCAGCTGATTCTAATTTAACACAGCGAGGAGCGACGTCCCGTTGTCATGACGGTACTGCCCTTCTTCTTGAGTGCTAATTAATCTCTGTCACAAATTTGATGTCGTACGCTATGCACAGTATGGGTGGGGGTGTTATGATATTTACAAAATAAGTGGTAAAAGATGGGGAAAAGGGGGTGGGGCTTGCTGACGTAATTATAATTATAATAAAATTGTGGGTCGTGGCAGGTTTAATGACATAATCAGATAAGGAAAAAACAGGTTCTTAAAATACATTCTGCATAAATTATGTAAATGAGCAGCCATTAAGAAGTCTTGCACACAAGACATGCACGATAGTCTGTGTGTATTGAGATTTATTCCTGTGTAGGTGGTCAGGAATATTTCTATTTAGTTTTGTGAGATTTATTCCTGTGTTGGTGGGCTGGGAACATTTCTATCAAGTTTTGTGAAGATTTATTCCTGTCTTATGAATTAAAAAATATTTCTATTAAGTTTTGGGAGATTTATTCCTGTGTAGGTGGTCTGGGAATATTTCTATTTAGTTTTGTGAGCTATATTCCTGTCGTGTGAATTAGGGAATATTTCTATTACATTTTGTGAGATTTATTCCTGTCTTGTGAATTAAAAAAGATTTCTATTAAGTTTTGGGAGATTTATTATTGTCTTGTGAATTAGGGAATAGGCCTACTTCTAATAAGTTTTGTGTAGGAATTTACTGCATGTGTGTTTAATTACTAGATATGTGTATTTTTTAATATTACATTAATTACCTATTTTAATGGAATGTATCTGTTGTAAAAAAAAATAGTTTTGGATATATGATTTATTCAAAACAATGTATTTTAGGAAAAGGTTAGAATATTTATTTTTAACTCATAAAAGCTTTTCTTGTTCAAATATTATTTATATTTTTAAGAATGAATTTGATTATAATAGCTGTTTAGTCTCTTATTAATTAAGCCTGAACTTGACCATTTAAAAATTCGTTAATTTTTAATTACCTGAGAATTAATCTAAATAACGTTTTCAGTAACGTATTTTTAATTGTTTCCATTTATAGTTGGTAGCTGTCAACACATGGGATTTACGCCAAGTTTCTGATATAAATGGTAATTAAGAGCTGTGTAGATGAATCCTACTGATGTTAGCTGAACTAATGATGTTTGGTAGTGTTACGATTTTTCTGTGACTTCCTCCATTGCTGGCCACAAAAAACGTTTTGAAGTTTTTACAGAGACTAGAGAGATAGAGAGATAAGGTGATACAGAGATATAAAGAGATATAAAGAGATATAAAGAGATAAAGATGCTTCCCTCACTGTTGGCCTCACTTCTCCTGCTATTCTGTGGCGGTGAATCAATTAAAATACAAACCCGTGAGTCATTAATTACTTAATTAATTATTTAAGCTAAAAATAATGAAACTTGGCTTTATTTAACATGTATCTTTATCATAAGGTGAAGGTTGAATAAAAAATTACTTTAAATTATTTAGGCCACTTTTTATATATTAATAGTAGCCTCTTTTATTAAAAATATAGCATCCATTATACATAACATATAACCTTTACATTACTAGGTTGCGATATTAAAAAATTAAATTAATTCAATCTTTAAAAAAAAAAACGACGGTGACGCAACCTGTACTGTCGCCTCCTTACCTAACATGTCTACTACAAAAATTCATCTTGTACCAAGTTCCCGTTTTTTTTTTTCAACTATTAAATTATTCCTTTTATTTGCAGAGAGAGGTTTAAATTTACGTTACGTTTAGCCTGGAATAGTATCTTAAAACAAATTATTCATAGCTTTTGTAACAGAAATTAATTTCACCATAATATTAAAAACTCTTTTGGTGGTATTAAAATCGCAAACTAGATGTACCCCGACATTTTAATGTGCTCAGTGGTACACTACAATGTACGCAAGTGGTACACTATAATGTGCCCCAGTGGTACACTATAATGTGCCCCAGTGGTACACTATAATGTGCCCCAGTGGTACAGTATAATGTGCCCCTACACTATAATGTGCCCCAGTGGTACAGTATAATGTGCCCCAGTGGTACAGTATAATGTGCCCCAGTGGTACAGTATAATGTGCCCCAGTGGTACAGTATAATGTGCCCCTACACTATAATGTGCCCCAGTGGTACACTATAATGTGCCCCAGTGGTACACTATAATGTGCCCCAGTGGTACACTATAATGTGCCCCAGTGGTACACTATAATGTGCCCCAGTGGTACACTATAATGTGCCCCAGTGGTACAGTATAATGTGCCCCAGTGGTACAGTATAATGTGCCCCAGTGGTACAGTATAATGTGCCCCAGTGGTACAGTATAATGTGCCCCAGTGGTACACTATAATGTGCCCCAGTGGTACACTATAATGTGCCCCAGTGGTACACTATAATGTGCCCCAGTGGTACACTATAATGTGCCCCAGTCGTACTCCATAATGTGCCCCTGTGGTACATTATAATGTGCCCCAATGGTACACTATAATGTGCCTCCTCAATCATGGCAATGTATTACTACCTTTGTGTTTTATCTTGCCAACAACGAGGTGAATAGACGCTGTGTTAAATTCAGCGGTCTCGCGTTCATAAGGTGCATTATTTTCGCTGTTTTATTATAATTAAGGGTCACGTTAGCTGTGTTTGGGGGGGGGGGGGGGGTACTTTGGAGACCCTTTGACCTCTACGGCTGTATATCAAGGCAGTTATGAAATTAGCTCCATGCCCACCGCCCTGTGTAAACAGTTCATGTCAGACATGGTCTGTCATATTTACAGTTTATGTCAGACATGGTCTGTCATATTTATAACATTCATGTCAGACATGGTCTGTCATAAAGTTTCATGTCAGACATGGTCTGTCATATTTACAACATTCATGTCAGACATGGTCTGTCATAAAGTTTCATGTCAGACATGGTCTGTCATATTTACAATTCATGTCAGACATGGTCTGTCATATTTACAACATTCATGTCATACATAGTCTGTCATATTTACAACATTCATGTCAGACATGTTCTGTCATAAAGTTTCATGTCAGACATGGTCTGTCATATTTACAATTCATGTCAGACATGGTCTGTCATATTTACAATTCATGTCAGACATGGTCTGTCATATTTACAATTCATGTCAGACATGGTCTGTCATATTTACAATTCATGTCAGACATGGTCTGTCATATTTACAATTCATGTCAGACATGGTCTGTCATATTTACAATTCATGTCAGACATGGTCTGTCATATTTCAAACATTTATGTCCGACATGGTCTGTCATATTTACAACATTCATGTCAGACATGTTCTGTCATAAAGTTTCATGTCAGACATGGTCTGTCATATTTACAATTCATGTCAGACATGGTCTGTCATATTTACAATTCATGTCAGACATGGTCTGTCATATTTACAATTCATGTCAGACATGGTCTCTCATATTTACAATTCATGTCAGACATCGTCTGTTATATTTACAATTCATGTAAGACGTGGTCTGTTATATTTACAATTCATGTAAGACGTGGTATGTCATATTTATGTAACACATATGGTTACCAGCCAAAGGGGGATAAAACTATGAAGTTTTTATTCATTGGGTTGCGGCCCCTGTGGGACTGCAACTGAACTGTTGACGTTTTTTTATGCTTTTGTGAGCGAAATTACTTGTGTTCCATGTCATGTGACATGTGCCTAGTCGTGTCGCACACGCAAGGCTGCTGTCTGTGGACCAAGATGTAGACCTAATGAAGGTAGTTATTTAAATTATGTTTGTTAAAATACTTACTTATGTATTCCTGCTAGTGCTGCATGTGCACACTAGTTAGGGTGATGTATTAAATTAAGTATTTATTTTGTAGTACTACTTATTGGTACTTGTTGGCAGTACTGTGTACTGGCCGAAAACATAATTTATTGTACCCGTGTATATTGTAGCTTACACGTGGTGTTGTCCTGAATGTAACTTTTTTATTTTACATTTGTTTTAGGGCTACAGTTCTTTTTCTATTTTGATCTTTTGATCTTTTGATCTTTTGGTCTTTTGGATTGTTTGGATCTTTTGGTTTATCTTGGCTAGTTCGTTTTGTACTACTGTGTTGCATCGCCGTCATGGCTCGATGCTGTAAATAAACGAGTACTGGACAACAACTGTCGGTGTCGGTGTGTACTTAATCTCAGGGTCAGCCCGTCTTAACCACAACACCTCAGTGGGTAAAAGCATCCCCACTGAGTGAGGGTTACATTTGGCGCCCAACGTGGGGCTCGACCTTGGGAGGTAGGATGGCAAGCACCAAGCCGACGTTCGAGAAGTTGTCGCAGGAGTTGGCCGAATTGACGGCTAAGATGGCGGCGATACAGGCAAGTGTGCAGCGGCCCGTGACGGTGAAGGTGTGTGCTCCGGTACACAGCGATGAGGACGAGTTCACCGACTTTCTACCCACGGGCGGGGTTGCAGGGGAAGCTAGCCCGAAGATGGAGACCGTCCTGAAAGCTGTTAAAAGGCTGGACGGGACAACTGAGTCCCCAGTCGTAGCCACGGCAGCAGCTAACAGGACTATCCAGGTCGACGCAGTAACGACAGTTGTTCGCCAAGAGACGACGCCGCTGATACTCACGGAGGAACAACTTGACTGTCTGGCGGAGAAGGTGGCAGCAGCTATCCTAGCCCGGAGACAACGGCCTTACAGAGGAGCTTGTTACGGGTGCGGGTCCAGGAAGCACTTCGTCCGTGACTGTCCGAGGAAAGCAGCTAGGCAACGGAGTCAGCAGCAGGGGAAATGCCAGTCTATCAGCGTCGGGGAGCGGATGCTGATGCGTGTTCTGCCAAGCTCCCAGCCCAAGTTTACGCCACCGAGATCAGCACAGTGTCGAGCAACCACAGCTCAGGTTACCTCGCCTAGCGGCTGGAGGTACGGCTGTCGGGTGTTCCGCCGTGGAGGAGGGTTGCAGCCGGAGGGTGCGCGTGAGAAGGGTAGACAGCCACACTATGAATGTCAGTCTCAGCGCGAGCAAGATCGTCGCTTGGGAGACAGACATGACACAAGCAGAGGTCGGAGACGCCGCCGGAGGAGAGGCCGACGACGTGGTGGACGCCGCCGTGGTTGGCAGCGACCCGACTATACAATGTCGAGTGCTGAACCCACTGTGGCGGAGGGGGAGCGACGGAGAGAGGTCATACCAACCAGTGAGGCAGATGAAGGTGAGGAACTGACAATCAAGGTAGTGGTCCCAACTAGACTTCGGCCGGAGGCAACGCCTTTCGTGCCAGAGGTTGTCGCCCGGGACGGACAAGACAAGGTGATGGTCAGGCCAGCCCCACATCTGGATGAGGTGAATGCGAGGGACGAGGCATCGGACGAGGATGACTCTTGGATCAACCCAGAACCACCAGTGGAGCTGCGGAGATCAACCCGTCAACGACGACCCGTCGAGCGACTCAACCTGGCGCATCAAGTGGTGACCAGTACCAGCACTGGAGCCTCTACCGGTTTGCCGGGAATAATCTATTTGAGTTGAAAGGACTTAATGTCTGTGTACTTGTGTACTGAACTTTTTTTTAAGTACTATTATGTATGAGTTGTAAATGTAAATGTAAATGTGAATTCCATTGTACATTTATTTGTGAGGGGGGGCTGTGTAACACATATGGTTACCAGCCAAAGGGGGATAAAACTATGAAGTTTTTATTCATTGGGTTGCGGCCCCTGTGGGACTGCAACTGAACTGTTGACGTTTTTTTATGCTTTTGTGAGCGAAATTACTTGTGTTCCATGTCATGTGACATGTGCCTAGTCGTGTCGCACACGCAAGGCTGCTGTCTGTGGACCAAGATGTAGACCTAATGAAGGTAGTTATTTAAATTATGTTTGTTAAAATACTTACTTATGTATTCCTGCTAGTGCTGCATGTGCACACTAGTTAGGGTGATGTATTAAATTAAGTATTTATTTTGTAGTACTACTTATTGGTACTTGTTGGCAGTACTGTGTACTGGCCGAAAACATAATTTATTGTACCCGTGTATATTGTAGCTTACACGTGGTGTTGTCCTGAATGTAACTTTTTTATTTTACATTTGTTTTAGGGCTACAGTTCTTTTTCTATTTTGATCTTTTGATCTTTTGATCTTTTGGTCTTTTGGATTGTTTGGATCTTTTGGTTTATCTTGGCTAGTTCGTTTTGTACTACTGTGTTGCATCGCCGTCATGGCTCGATGCTGTAAATAAACGAGTACTGGACAACAACTGTCGGTGTCGGTGTGTACTTAATCTCAGGGTCAGCCCGTCTTAACCACAACACCTCAGTGGGTAAAAGCATCCCCACTGAGTGAGGGTTACATTTACAATTCATGTCAGACATGGTCTGTCATATTTACAATTCATGTCAGACATGGTCTGTTATATTTACAATTCATGTCATACATAGTCTGTCATATTTACAAGATTCATGTCAGACATGGTCTCTCATATTTACAATTCATGTAAGACATGGTCTGTTATATTTACAATTCATGTAAGACGTGGTATGTCATATTTACAATTCATGTAAGACGTGGTATGGCATATTTGCAATACATGTAAGACGTGGTATGTCATATTTACAATTCATGTTAAACATGGTCTGTCATATTTACAATTCATGTCAGACATGGTCTGTCATATTTACAGTTCATGTCAGACATGGTAGACATGATCTGTCATATTTACCAGACTCATGTCCCATTGTTATTTCACCTTAATTCATATGTTTTAATTAAAGGTAAAGAATAAAAAAAAAACACGGAACACGGCTGTGTATTTCTTCATGGGAGTAGTGGCCCCCCGTCGGGTTTATATGAATGGAAAAATGATAAAAATATCTAGGCAGGTGAAGTAGATTGTGTATTCAGCATTACTCAGCAACATTGTTTTCTCCAACATAAGCTAAAGCCGAGTACATAATAGAGCTGAGCGAACTCAGGTACGACTAAAAGTTACAGCTCCAGGAGCCGAACTCTCTAAATTGTCAGGTTATAAGCAATCATGTGTAGATGCAATACTATCAGAATACAAAATTTCTAACCCGAAAATAAATGAGTTCGGATAGTGGAGTCTAGCCTGTGCGACGTTCGTCAGTTCAGTCTGCTGTAAGGGGCACCTGGGCATAGTGCTTACCATTTTATCTGTTCATGTGTCCAGCTCAAAGACACTGATTAACTCTACTAATCCTTAAAGTGAAATCTTCAAGATCTTCTTATATGTGATGATCCAGCACATATTAAGACATATCTTAAGAGAGTGATGACGTGTGAATACTGTGTATTCAATTTAAATCGGTAATTATTAAATTAGTTATAAATTTAAAAAGAAGAAAAACATATTCAGAAATATTTTTTATATTGAATACAAAATTAACATAAATCAATTTTAATCGAGATGGTCCCCTCCGACTTTGCAATTACTCGGTAGATCAGCTAGGTGCTGGCATCAATGACTGCCATAAAATGTATCCTTACATGAGATCAAAGCGTGCTACAAATCTGACATAACATCATGCTAAATACTAAACTTTCATTAACCAAAACTAAATCCTTAATTGTGTCATTATTCCATTAGTCTCCTGCCCCTAATCATGTTTTCTATTTCTGTGAGCTTCTTGGGGGGTTCGGTTCAAGACGAATTTGTTTTAATGTTGAGTTGTAAAAAACTTAAGATACAAACACAGCATTATTTATTTTGATTTAGGTAACGTTATGATTTAATACTAAATTATTTATGTTGACACACACACATACACACACATACGCACGGATGCACGCACGCACACGCAGACACACACAGACACATACACACAGAGACACACAGACACACATGCACGAGTGGCCTAGCGGTAGAGAGCTGGACTGCTAACCCGTAAGTCTCGAGTTCTAATCCAGGTTCAAGTCAGTAGACCGTCCCTGAGTCCACCCAGCTATGATGGGTACCTAACTCAGGTTAGGGTAAATAAAAGCGGTTGGGCGTAGTGGTGACCACACTATCTCTTCATATGCCGAACTCTATTTCACTTGCCCCGTAGATGTCAGATTTGAAAGGGAACTTTACTTTTACTTACACACACACATACATACACGTGTATATATATATATATATAATACCAACATTTGTGTTATGTTGACATGTATAACATTATTATGTATTAACTTCATTATTTTTGTCAAGTCATATAACTTAACGAGATTCTAACACAATTAATTTGCCAGAAAGCTTGAACCGGATAGAAACGACGTACAGGTCCAAGCTTATTGAGCGGGCAAACAACAAGTTGTTTAATTTTAAAGGTACGTGTGTCGTATAAGTCTTGTTGATTTGATTTTAAGGGGTTGGTGTAGAGTTTTTAGTATAGAGTTTTTAGTGTAGAATTTTTAGTGGAGAGTTTTTAGTAAAGAGTTTAGTGTAGAGTTTTTAGTGAAGAATTTAGTGTAGAGTTTTTAGTGTAGAGTTTTTAGTGTAGAGTTTTTAGTGTAGAGTTTTTAGTGTAGAGTTTTTAGCGTAGAGTTTTTTGTGTAGAGTTTTTAGTGTAGAGTTTTTAGCGTAGAGTTTTTAGTGTAGAGTTTTTAGTGTAGGGTTTTTAGTGTAGAGTTTTAAGTGTAGAGTTTTAAAATAATTTTACACATGGGATTTGTCCCACTACAATTACACTCACATTCTTTAGAGAGATTTAAATTGTGGGATAATCCAGCTAATCCTCTACTCTGGACGAGTTTTTGTGTTTCTATAATGGTGACACATTTACTGATCGGCTAATCTGTTCACGGCTACATAAATAGCTTATATACAGGCCATCAGTAGTTTATCCCTAATCTAGATTTTCGTAATACACACATGAGAAAATAAACCTGGAGTGATCTCCCCTAAACTATCTTGAGTATTCTTATTTGAAACAACAGCGGATGGCAACTCGGGATATAGACACGATTTTTAATCCATTTTAAATTCTTAAACTTTTAAAAATAGAATAAAATCTCGTAGAAAAAAAGAATTGCACACCAAGTGAACGCCAAATAAAATGTGCATAATAGTGCGGAATATTATTAGTGCTTTATAAATTCACATGCGTTTTATAGAAATCCACACATACACACACAGATATACGGACAAGATTGCAAAACTATGTTTTTCCGATTCAGGGAGCTGTAAAACGTCGAGATTTGCAAAAATCTCGATTTTTTTTTTTTGCACGATTACAAGACTTTCTCTATACTTCGTATATACGAGAAAGTAAAAAAAAACAAATAAACCAATTATGCCTGAAATTAATTAAGAAATTTAATATTTTTAGAATCATTGTTATAAAAGTTGCAAATCCAGAGAACTTGAAAATAATTGTGATCTTGTTTTGTGTGTTCTAGTGACCAAAAATGTTATCTTGTTTTGTGTGTTCTCGTGTTCTAGCGGCCAAAAATGTGATCTTGTTTTGTGTGTTCTAACCGCCAAAAATGTGAACTTGTGTTGTGTGTTCTAGCCACCAAAAATGTGATCTTGTTTTGTGTGTTCTCGTGTTCTAGCCGCCAAAAAAGTGATCTTGTTTTGTGTGTTCTCGTGTTCTAGCGGCCAAAAATGTGATCTTGTTTTGTATGTTCTCGTGTTCTAGCGGCCAAAAATGTGATCTTGTTTTGTGTGTTCTCGTGTTCTAGCGGCTAAAAATGTTGTTTTGTGTGTTCTCGTGTTCTAGCCACCAAAAGTCAGATCTTGTTTTGTGTGTTCTCATGTTCTAGCCGCCAAAAATGTGATCTTGTTTTGTGTGTTCTCGTGTTCTAGCCGCAAAAAATGTGATCTTGTTTTGTGTGTTCTAGCCGCCAAAAATGTGATCTTGTGTTGTGTGTTCTCGTGTTCTAACCGCCAAAAATGTGATCTTGTTTTGTGTGTTCTAGCAGCCAAAAATGTGATCTTGTGTTGTGTGTTCTAGCGGCCAAAAATGTGATCTTGTGTTTTGTGTTCTCGTGTTCTAACCGCCAAAAATGTGATCTTGTTTTGTGTGTTCTAGCGGCCAAAAATGTGATCTTGTGTTGTGTGTTCTAGCCGCCAAAAATGTGATCTTGTTTTGTGTGTTCTAGCGGCCAAAAATGTGATCTTGTGTTGTGTGTTCTAGCCGCCAAAAATGTGATCCTTTTTTGTGTGTTCTAGCGGCCAAAAATGTGATCTTGTGTTGTGTGTTCTCGTGTTCTAACCGCCAAAAATGTGATCTTGTTTTGTGTGTTCTAGCCGCCAAAAATGTGATTTTGTTTTGTGTGTTCTAGCGGCCAAAAATGTGATCTTGTTTTGTGTGTTCTAGCGGCCAAAAATGTGATCTTGTGTTGTGTGTTCTAGCCGCCAAAAATGTGATCCTTTTTTGTGTGTTCTAGCGGCCAAAAATGTGATCTTGTGTTGTGTGTTCTCGTGTTCTAACCGCCAAAAATGTGATCTTGTTTTGTGTGTTCTAGCCGCCAAAAATGTGATTTTGTTTTGTGTGTTCTAGCGGCCAAAAATGTGATCTTGTTTTGTGTGTTCTAACCGCCAAAAATGTGAACTTGTGTTGTGTGTTCTAGCCACCAAAAATGTGATCTTGTTTTGTGTGTTCTCGTGTTCTAGCGGCCAAAAATGTGATCTTGTTTTGTGTGTTCTCGTGTTCTAACGGCCAAAAATGTGATCTTGTTTTGTATGTTCTCGTGTTCTAGCGGCCAAAAATGTGATCTTGTTTTGTGTGTTTTCGTGTTCTAGCGGCTAAAAATGTTATTTTGTGTGTTCTCGTGTTCTAGCCACCAAAAGTCAGATCTTGTTTTGTGTGTTCTCATGTTCTAGCCGCCAAAAATGTGATCTTGTTTTGTGTGTTCTCGTGTTCTAGCCGCCAAAAATGTGATCTTGTTTTGTGTGTTCTAGCCGCCAAAAATGTGATCTTGTGTTGTGTGTTCTCGTGTTCTAACCGCCAAAAATGTGATCTTGTTTTGTATGTTCTAGCAACCAAAAATGTGATCTTGTGTTGTGTGTTCTAGCGGCCAAAAATGTGATCTTGTGTTGTGTGTTCTCGTGTTCTAACCGCTAAAAATGTGATCTTGTTTTGTGTGTTCTAGCGGCCAAAAATGTGATCTTGTGTTGTGTGTTCTCGTGTTCTAACCGCCAAAAATGTGATCTTGTTTTGTGTGTTCTAGCCGCCAAAAATGTGATCTTGTTTTGTGTGTTCTAGCGGCCAAAAAAGTGATCTTGTGTTGTGTGTTCTCGTGTTCTAACCGCCAAAAATGTGATCTTGTTTTGTGTGTTCTAACCGCCAAAAATGTGATCTTGTTTTGTGTGTTCTAGCCGCCAAAAATGTGATCTTGTTTTGTGTGTTCTAGCGGCCAAAAATGTGATCTTGTGTTGTGTGTTCTAGCCGCCAAAAATGTGATCCTTTTTTGTGTGTTCTAGCGGCCAAAAATGTGATCTTGTGTTGTGTGTTCTCGTGTTCTAACCGCCAAAAATGTGATCTTGTTTTGTGTGTTCTAGCCGCCAAAAATGTGATTTTGTTTTGTGTGTTCTAGCGGCCAAAAATGTGATCTTGTTTTGTGTGTTCTAACCGCCAAAAATGTGAACTTGTGTTGTGTGTTCTAGCCACCAAAAATGTGATCTTGTTTTGTGTGTTCTCGTGTTCTAGCGGCCAAAAATGTGATCTTGTTTTGTGTGTTCTCGTGTTCTAGCGGCCAAAAATGTGATCTTGTTTTGTATGTTCTCGTGTTCTAGCGGCCAAAAATGTGATCTTGTTTTGTGTGTTCTCGTGTTCTAGCGGCTAAAAATGTTATTTTGTGTGTTCTCGTGTTCTAGCCACCAAAAGTCAGATCTTGTTTTGTGTGTTCTCATGTTCTAGCCGCCAAAAATGTGATCTTGTTTTGTGTGTTCTCGTGTTCTAGCCGCCAAAAATGTGATCTTGTTTTGTGTGTTCTAGCCGCCAAAAATGTGATCTTGTGTTGTGTGTTCTCGTGTTCTAACCGCCAAAAATGTGATCTTGTTTTGTGTGTTCTAGCACCCAAAAATGTGATCTTGTGTTGTGTGTTCTAGCGGCCAAAAACGTGATCTTGTGTTGTGTGTTCTCGTGTTCTAACCGCCAAAAATGTGATCTTGTTTTGTGTGTTCTAACCGCCAAAAATGTGATCTTGTTTTGTGTGTTCTAGCCGCCAAAAATGTGATCTTGTTTTGTGTGTTCTAGCGGCCAAAAATGTGATCTTGTGTTGTGTGTTCTAGCCGCCAAAAATGTGATCCTTTTTTGTGTGTTCTAGCGGCCAAAAATGTGATCTTGTGTTGTGTGTTCTCGTGTTCTAACCGCCAAAAATGTGATCTTGTTTTGTGTGTTCTAGCCGCCAAAAATGTGATTTTGTTTTGTGTGTTCTAGCGGCCAAAAATGTGATCTTGTTTTGTGTGTTCTAACCGCCAAAAATGTGAACTTGTGTTGTGTGTTCTAGCCACCAAAAATGTGATCTTGTTTTGTGTGTTCTCGTGTTCTAGCGGCCAAAAATGTGATCTTGTTTTGTGTGTTCTCGTGTTCTAGCGGCCAAAAATGTGATCTTGTTTTGTATGTTCTCGTGTTCTAGTGGCCAAAAATGTGATCTTGTTTTGTGTGTTCTCGTGTTCTAGCGGCTAAAAATGTTATTTTGTGTGTTCTCGTGTTCTAGCCACCAAAAGTCAGATCTTGTTTTGTGTGTTCTCATGTTCTAGCCGCCAAAAATGTGATCTTGTTTTGTGTGTTCTCGTGTTCTAGCCGCCAAAAATGTGATCTTGTTTTGTGTGTTCTAGCCGCCAAAAATGTGATCTTGTGTTGTGTGTTCTCGTGTTCTAACCGCCAAAAATGTGATCTTGTTTTGTGTGTTCTAGCAGCCAAAAATGTGATCTTGTGTTGTGTGTTCTAGCGGCCAAAAATGTGATCTTGTGTTGTGTGTTCTCGTGTTCTAACCGCCAAAAATGTGATCTTGTTTTGTGTGTTCTAGCGGCCAAAAATGTGATCTTGTGTTGTGTGTTCTCGTGTTCTAACCGCCAAAAATGTGATCTTGTTTTGTGTGTTCTAGCCGCCAAAAATGTGATCTTGTTTTGTGTGTTCTAGCGGCCAAAAAAGTGATCTTGTGTTGTGTGTTCTCGTGTTCTAACCGCCAAAAATGTGATCTTGTTTTGTGTGTTCTAACCGCCAAAAATGTGATCTTGTTTTGTGTGTTCTAGCCGCCAAAAATGTGATCTTGTTTTGTGTGTTCTAGCGGCCAAAAATGTGATCTTGTGTTGTGTGTTCTAGCCGCCAAAAATGTGATCCTTTTTTGTGTGTTCTAGCGGCCAAAAATGTGATCTTGTGTTGTGTGTTCTCGTGTTCTAACCGCCAAAAATGTGATCTTGTTTTGTGTGTTCTAGCCGCCAAAAATGTGATTTTGTTTTGTGTGTTCTAGCGGCCAAAAATGTGATCTTGTGTTGTGTGTTCTCGTGTTCTAACCGCCAAAAATGTGATCTTGTTTTGTGTGTTCTAACCGCCAAAAATGTGATCTTGTTTTGTGTGTTCTAGCGGCCAAAAATGTGATCTTGTTTTGTGTGTTCTAGCGGCCAAAAATGTGATCTTGTTTTGTGTGTTCTAGCGGCCAAAAATGTGATCTTGTTTGTGTTCTAGCGGCCAAAAATGTGATCTTGTTTCTGGTGGAGGGCCTCGACTCCCACACGATGTCGGCGGCGAGGAAAATCTTCCACCAGCTGGGGGAGACGTCCATCGATAACATTAATGAGCTGGACACCTACGTCACAGGGTTCCTCAAGGTAGGCATCTGGTTTAGTGACGTCACAGGCTTCCTCAAGGTAGGCATTCAATGGCATCTGGTTTAGTGACGTCACAGGGTTCCTCAAGGTAGGCATCTGGTTTAGTGACGTCACAGGCTTCCTCAAGGTAGGCATTCAATGGCATCTGGTTTAGTGACGTCACAGTGTTCCTCAAGGTAGGCAACTGGTTTAGTGACGTCACAGGGTTCCTTAAGGTAGGCATTCAATGGCATCTGGTTTAGTGACGTCACATGGTTCCTTAAGGTAGGCATTGGGCATCTATTTTAGTATCTTTATACCACGTTTTATTATGGGACGGAGTGGTCTAGCGGTAGAGAGCTGGACTGCTAACCCGTATGTCTCGAGTTCGAATCCGTGTTCAAGTCAGTCCACACAATTCTGATGGTACCTAACTCACGTTAGGGAAAGTAAAGGCGGCTGGGTATAGTGCCCACACTATCTCTTCATATGCCGAGGTCACAGAAACAAGTGAACTCTACTTCACTTGCCCCATAGACCGTCAGGTTTGAAAGGGAAACTTACGTATACCAGTTTTATTAGAAATATTGTTAAACAAGTTGTACAAGTAATTTACTATTATTTTATAACGTTTAATTAAAAAATACTATTATAAAAAAGACGTATCATTAAACGCTAATTAAAAAAAACTGGCATAGAGTTATTTAACAATTCCAGCCACAGAGCCGAGACAGCATGGTGGCCGACATTGCCGCGGCGTCCTCAGCCATCTTCAATGGCCTGCCTGAGCGGAATGGCCAGATGGGGTGGGTGGAGCAGGAGAACGCCACCTGCGGGGAGTTTGACCCGGCCAAGAAGTTGCTGCCCAACCTCTTCAAGCTGATGTCACAGGCAGGTTCGTGACGTGTGCTGGTGACGTCATATTGTCACGTATGCTAGTGACGTCTTATTGTGACTTATACTAGTGGCATCTTCTTGTGGCGTATGCTAGTGACGTATGCTATTGACGTCTTCTTGTGACATAAGCTAGTGACGTCTTCTTGTGACGTATGCTGGAGATGTCTTCTTGTGACATAAGCTAGTGACGTCTTCTTGTGACGTATGCTGGAGATGTCTTCTTGTGACGTATGCTGGTGACGTTTTCTTGTGGCGTATGCTAGTGACGTGTTCTTGTGACGTATGTTATGAATGTTAAGTTAACTCTCCCCTTCTCTCCACCTCCACGGGTTAACAATCCCCCCTCTCACCCGCCTTAAGGTTAACTCTCCCCTTCCCTCCCCTGCCTCAACCTAAGTTCCCCCTTCCCTTGCTACAGGTAAATACACCGCCTTGGTGACGAACTCGCGGCTGACGTCACCAGGTGTGGCAGGGACGTACGCCTCCAGCCCTGACATGCAGGTGGAGTCAGACATCCACCTGAAGGAATCGGGCTGTGACGACAAGAGGTTCAAGGACATCGCCAAACAGCTGCTGACCAACCAGGACTTAAACGTGAGTAACGTGAGACCCAGTGAACCATCGTGTGCGTTCTTTGTCGACAGTCCTAAGTCCATAATACAACAGTGTTGGAATGTGTCAGGGTCTCAACATGGACGTCAATATTTGTCGAGGTATTTTACATACACACAACCACACACACAAAATCTTATATATATATATATATATATATATATATATATATATATATATATATATATATATATATATATATATATATATATATATATATATATATATATATATATATATACATATCAGGGACTTTCTAGCTTAGAGGCAGAGCGCTAGACTTTTAACTAGAAGTTTCGAATTCCAATTCGAGTTCAAGTACATACAGCCCTAATGGGTACCTAACACACATTAGGAAAAGCAAAGACGGTTGGGCATAGTGCTGACAGCGCAATCCCTTCACATGCCGAGGTCACTGAAACAAGTGAACTCTACTTCCTCTGCCGCAACGGGAAAAGATTTATATATATATATATATATATATATATATATATATATATATATATATATATATTATATATCTAATATATAAAGCTCAATTCTGTAACGCATATGTTTGTCGTTGGCATTTCTACGGATTTAAGTGTTAGATCAATTATCGTGCGCAGTTGTCTAAATTTATGAGTTAAAAAATTACTATTAAAAGTGTTGGGAAATCATTTTCATTTTTCAAATTATAGTAATAATTGTCGGCATGTTCATTAAACACAAGTTTTAAAAAAATATCATCTTTTACAAAAATTCTAATTATGTTTTTATTTAGTCCTATAGCGCTTACTTCCCTTTGATAAATTAGGCAAAACACAATTACTTCCCTTTATAAAACCATAGCATTAGTTGAAAAGCATTTACTTTTTAATTACTTTGTTTTGGTGTTGGGAAAAAAATAATTACATAATTAGCGGGGATTGATCAAGTGCAAATGTTTTAGGTATTTTACGGATAAGCTTGGAGTATTATAATTGTTCATTAAATTGAAACAGGCGCGTTCGTTTAAGTGAGTGCAAAAACTATGAATAAGTTGGGGTACTATAGTCGTTTATTAAGCTAAAACAGGCGATTCTGCCCCGGGCGTTTATGTTCGCGTTAGTGTTTTCTTTGTGTTTAGGTGGGTTTGCGTTAGTGGTTGCGTTTTGATTTGGTTCGTTTTTGTTCTTTCTTTTTTCGTTTTTGTTTGTGTTTTTTTTTGTTTGGGTTTGTATTTGTGTTTTTGGTTGGTTTTGCGTTTGGATTTGGTTTGTTTTCGTTTGCTTTTTCGTTGTTTTTTTTGGTATTGGTGTTTGTGGTTGGGTTTGTTGTTAGGTTTTTGTTTTCGTTTGTTTTTTCTTTGTGTTTGTATTGGTGTTTGTGGTTGTGGTTGGGTTTGTTGTTAGGTTTTTGTTTTCGTTTGTATTTCTAATTGTGTTAGCGTTATGTTTGCGTTTTGTTGTTTTGGTTGGTTGTGGTTTGGGTGGGCAATGCCGGGTTTATGATGATTTCTAAACACACAGGTAATGGTCTTTAACGGAAAGGTTTTTCACAGAAGCCAGAGCAGGGCCTGGCCGGGACGGCTAGTATATATATATATGTGTGTGTGTGTGTGTGTGTGTGTGTATTTATATAAATCATGCTTGTGGCTTGTGGTAAAAAAAAAGCACATCAATATTTTCGATGTACCTACAGGTAATCATTGGCTCAGGTAGAAATTATTTCATCAAGAACTCAACTCTTGTCTCTTTACCTCTGTCACGATCAGACATCGATCTAACAAAGGTAAGGTAACTCTCACCCATCATAATGTATCCAGTTTCCATGGGTTGACATGAGTTGTCTATCGTTACAAGTGCCATCTGCTAATGCCAATCACACCAATCTGTATCTGCAGCTGTGGCAGATGAACAAGATCCTAAAGAAGAGGACTGCCAGCAAAGTCGTGGAGGGGAAACTACAAATCCTGCAACATCTGTCTAACCCAGCCAACCATGATTTGGTCGGTCAGTATTTTTATCTACCTCAAATTCGGAGTAGTCAGATTTATCCTTATCTTTGTTTGCCATCTCTAATGTTAGAGGTTTGAATTTTTTGTCTAAAAAGGCAACGAAGGGTTTTTTTCTAATTGTGATATTAAAAATAAAATAATGTAAATGACAAAAATTATAAAATTTTATGTGTTTTAAAACTTGAATTTTAACTTCTAATTAACATATCTTTATTTACATAAGTTATGGAAATTAGGCCAATTTACATGAAGCCCAGACTGCACTAATGTCACGTGACCTATATATATTAAGTCAGCGTAACCTGAACCTGACGGCAGGATAGAATTTAATTGTAATTAAGCCCAGCGTCATTAACCCCAAGAATTTAATTGTAATTAAACCCTGCGTTATTAACCTCACTAATTTAATTATAATTAAACCCTGCGTCATTAGCCCCAAATATTTAATTGTAATTAAGCCCTGCGTCATTAGCCCCAAGAATTTAATTGTAATAATTAAACCCTGCGTCATTAACCCCAGTAATAATATAATTATAATATGTAGGCCTATCCACTAAATTATTATATGTATACACTAAATTATGATATTTATTCATTAAACTATAATAAATATAAACTCAATTATAAATATAAACTTAATTATACTCTCTATCCACTATATATATATGTCCACTAAATTATAATATTCACAACACTACTACAGGTTTCCTACAAACGCCGGAATCTTACCCTGAGCTAACTTCCTATCTTCAAAACCTGATTACTTTCTTCAATCAGAAGAAAGACAGTAAAGGCTACTTCATTGTCGCACACAGTAAGTTTGGCCATTTTATAATTGGCCATAATTTGTAAATTGTGACACACAGTAAGTTTGGCCATTTTTACTTTCTCGTATATACGAAGTATAGAGAAAGTCTTGTAATCGTGCAAAATTTTTTTTTTTTTACAAATCTCGACGCTTTACATCTCACTGATACGGAAAAACATAATTTTGCAATCTTGTCCGTGTGTCGGTGTGTGTGTGTGTGTGTGTGTAAACACGATAACTTGAGTACCGTTACAGCTAGGTTGATGAAATTTCATATATAAGTATTTTATCAAAATCGTAGATCCATATCAACTTTTGAGCGATTTCCGATAACCGGAAGTGGTACTTTTTCTACTTTGAATTTTTCAAAAGCCTATAACTTGAGTACTATTTCAGATAGATAAATGAAATTTCAAATGTAAGTAAAAGATCTAATTCTCTTCGTTCTGTCAAATTTTGAGTAATTTTCGTTGACTGGAAGTACTAATTTACGCTATTTCCGATTTCTCAAAAACGCATCTAAATTTATAAAGTACTAATAATATTGCGCACCATTATGAACATCTTTATTCGGCGTTCGCTTGGTGTGCAATACTTTTTTCTATGAGATTCTATTTTATTTTAAAAAGTGTATGTATTTAAAATGGATTAAAAATCATAACTATATCCCGAGTTCCCATCCCCTGTTGTTTTATATAAGAATATTCGAGAAAGTTTAGGGGAGATCACTCCCGGTTTATTTATTTGGCCATAATGTGTACATTGTGGCACACAGTATATTTGACCATTTTATTATTTGGCCATTATTTGTACATTATATGAGAAAATACATGTTTAGTATGTATTATTATATTGTATGCTGTATCTAGTCCTGAAAAAGTCTTGTAAATTTGGTAGCTGTAAGTTATATCCTGCCCCATCTGATAAACTGTATCCACGGCCGGCGCTACCTATAAGGCGAACCAGGCAGTAGCGTAGCGAGGGGAGGGGGGGGGGGGGGTCGGGGGGGGGGACATATGTCCCCGGGCGCCGAGCTTAGGGGGCGCCAAAATGGGTTGGAAAAATAAATTGAAAGGTTGAGGGGGGCGCAAATTGAAAGTTTGAGGGGGGGGGGTGCAAATCGAAAAGTTTGTCCCCGGGCGCCGGGAAGGGTCGCTACGCTTCTGGAACTAGGGCGCCATCCCTAGGGGTCGCAAAAGGTTTAATCGCTATTATGAAAAGTTACCTAATAATTAATAACTTTTATAAAGGAGTAGCAATCTATTTCGGCACCCAGGACGAACTATCAATTCTGCACCCCCCCACCCTTAAATTAGGTCTATATAGGCCTTTATGTATTCGCGATGGTGAAAATGCAACCCCACCTCCCTAATTTGGAAAGGTCGGGGCGCTTCTTACTAGTCACTTTGCCTTTTTAATTTGGTGTCACATAATTGATGTAGAAAGCGATTAAATAAGTTCGTAATTTAAATTTCAAATATTTTAATAGGGCTTGTACATCTCGATTTAGGGAGTACCATTTGTAGAGCTTGGTGAAGTTAAACGAGTTGGTGTCGTAGTTCTGGAGCATCGAGTCTAGTTATGTTTAGGTATCGAAGTTTGATATGTGCTGTGAATGTAGTAGAGTATATCGAGTAGTCGAGTTTATCGTAAGTTAGATGATTTCAATTCAGTACGGAACACACTACAAAAAAAGGTAGACGTTATCTAGTTGAAAAATCTAAAAGTTTTTAGGAATCTATATTACCACTCTTAAAGTATTAATATTTATTAAATAGGATGGAATTTATAACTAACCGTAAACATTGTTTTTACAAGCTTTTATTTAACTCACTTCCTCGTCAGTCTGTCGTCAGTCGTCAGTCTGTCTAGACGGAAACGCAGGAGTGAAAATTCGGACAGTTCTACTTGACCGACACGATTCACAGTTGGCACGTGGGTCAAGACATGAAGACAATGCAATCTGAAACTAAATTTGACTTAATTGGATGCCTAATTGATTTTTTATGAATTAATTAAAATTTGGACCGAATTAGTAGGCATGTCTAGCCAACCACACCACACGCGTCATCAATAGCTGCGCCATCACGACCACGTAATGGCTGCGTTCAAAAACCATTGCGCGCCTACTGAACGTGATATTCAGTAGGCGCGCAATGGTTTTTAGTCATGTAACTATATTGTAGATAAAACATGTAAAGTACTGAAAAAAAAATTCATAAAAAACGTTTTAATAACAAGCTTTTATGTAATGATGCACTAAAAAGTAGAAAATAAATTATAGACTACTATTTAAATAACTATAAAGAAAAGCGTGGGTGTATTCCTTAACATTAGTAAAGGTATCCAATAGATACTAAAGTGACCCACGCTTTTCTTTATAGTTATTTAAATAGTAGTCTATAATTTATTTTCTACTTTTTAGTGCATCATTACATAAAAGCTTGTTATTAAAACGTTTTTTATGAATTTTTTTTTTCAAATTAAAGTTGTTTTTTATATTAAATAATAATTCCAGTAATTTCTAAAACAGTACACGTGTTTGATTTTTTGAAAGACATCCCTTTATTTAGGGATCCAAAATTTTAATTTATCTACTATTATTGCCGTGCTATTTAGGGTATGTCATCATAATTGAATAGAAGTATGTTATAATAAAGCTACCGTTTTTAGACTTTCAAACAAAATCTATAGTTAAGTAATCAATTGGTAAAATATATTGTTTTTACAAGTTTACATAGATAATATAAAATAAGTGTTGAAATGATTACGTAATGCAATTTAAAGTGTTTTATTGTGTTAGTTACACTTGGTTAATTTAGCAACTCTTTTAAAAGTTATTTCCCTTGAATAGAATTTTTTTTTTAGATTTTATTTGGATTTTCAAATGGGAGATAATTCCTTGCTTACCTTTACATTAATTTCCAATTCCTGACCTTATGTTGACCGCTTACATATAAATACAACTTTAAGTTATTATTTGCTACTTTAAAAATTATATAGAGTTTAAGTTTCTAAACAATATAGTTTGGTAGCTTTTTAGCAATATCAAGTTAAAAATATCAGTAGCCGTTGACAAATTGCCTTGCAATACTTAATGTTAGTAGACATACAGTCTTAGCCGTAAATTAAACATCTAATTAATTGTCTTTTCATATTTTTCACCCTCTCCTAAAGGATTCAATTATAACAATTTTAGGCTGTAATCTACAACATTTTATTTTTCAAAACAAAAAAATCGTTACATAATCACCCAATATAGACATTTTACATTTATAACTAAAGACAGTCAAGCTTAAAACAGGTAAGTTCCGTTTTGGAACTCACCATGGGAGGACTGCAGAGAGCCCAACACTACAAGCACTTTTTTTAGTGTTTTTTTTCCAGACTGTTGTCCCCAAGAGGGGGGGGGGGGAAGCACTTACATTTACAAATTTCTCAGGGGAGGGAGGGGGGGGCTATGTCGTAAAGTACAAAGTAGGTTCGTGCACTTAGCAACAATTTCAATAAAATGTGATTACGCTTGCAAACTGGAATGAAGGAATTAGTACAAACTTTTGCGACGAAGGAGGCAAGTAAAATTTGATTTTGATGTCTACTTATAACGTGTATGCATTTGATAATAAATTAATATGTCACTTTTAGTTAATTGTTTTCTTATAGGACATGTTTTAGTAATTAATTTGTGTGAAAGGGGGCGTTTTAATAAGTTTTGCCTAGGGCGCTAAATAACCAGGCGTGGCACTGACTGTATCTGTTGCTTCAGTCTTGCAATTAGTTTCTGTATTTTAAGTTTTATCTGGCGATGTCTTGTATTTTTTATCCGGCAATTTTTATACACTTTATATGAATTATGTTGTATTCGTAAATTAACTCATTATATTTAAAATGAAGATTGTATTATCTTCTGTTTTTGTAGAATAAAATATAAATACTCAAACTAGAGTCTTGCCCTCTTTTTAACCGTAGGAATTTATTTTTAGCTGACCATCTGGCACTTATTCATGAAGCCACCACCGCCTACAGACTGGGCAAAATGGTCAACGCCATCCTTTCTGATATCAACGCAGCTAACGTGAGTAACACCCCACAGCCCGCACACCATATACCACACCCCACACCCCACACACCATATACCAGACCTCACACCCCACACACCATATACCAAACCCCACACCCCACAACCTCTGTGTGGTCAACGCCATCCTTTTTTATATCAACACAGCTAACGTAAGTAACATCCCACACCCCACACACCATATACTACACTCCATACCCCATACCCCACAACCTCTGTGTGGTCAACGCCATCCTTTCTGATATCAACGCAGCTAACGTGAGTAACATCCCACACCCCACACCCCACACACCATATACCACACCCCGCACACCATATACCACACCCCACACCCCACAACCTCTGTGTGTTCATCGCCATCCTTTCTGATATCAACAGCTAACGTCAGTACCACCCCACATCCCACACACAAACACCCCACATTCTCTGTGTAGTCAACCCCATTCTCTGTGATATCTGTAACATACCACACCCCAGATACAACACCCCACACATCCCAAACCCAAACCTATGTGTAAGCACTATATATATATATATATATATATATATATAAATATATATATATATATATATATATATATATATATATATATATATATATATATATATATATATATATATATATATATGTATACATATATATATACATATATATATGTATATATATATATATATATATATATATATATATATATATATATATATATATATATATATATATATATATATATATATATATATATATTACAGAAAATCACGAAGACTCGTGACGACACACTTATAGTGGTGGCATCAACCCAAGGTTCTACACTAACTGTATCATCGGGGTCACTGCTGAACGAGGAATTGGAAGGTAAGGTTATGATGGTGGCTTTTAGAAAAATAAAAGTAGGGGGGCAAGTAGAAAACATACTTGGTTATGGTTCAAGTAGAAAACATTCATGGTAATGGTTCAAGTAGAAAACATGCTTGTTAATGTTTCAAGTAGAAAACATGCTTGGTAAAGTTTCAAGTAGAAAATATACACATGGAAGTTTTAAGTAGAAATATACTTGGTAATGTTTTTCAGTAGAACCAAACTTAAATGTTTTTAATTAGAAAACACACTTGATTATGTTTTTTTAAGTAGAAACATACTTTGTAATGTTTCTACGTAGAAACATACTTGGTAATGTAGAAAATAAAACATAATAAAGACTAACAAAACAATAGATTAAGGTTTATTATGTAAAAACATATCAGTGGCAATCAATACGACTAGAATGATAATACCCATCAATCCAGTTGAGAAGTGTTAATCAACACACTTATTTAGTTAGTTAATGAGCATATTTAAGAACTTCTAATTCCCTAGTAGGCTACATGTCTTTAAAACTTAAGAGAATCTTGACACTTATCTAGTGTTATTCTCTGAGTCTCAACAGATAATTTAGTTGCAATTTTCGAATCAAAAATTGTATTGCAGGTAAGTTTATTTTGTCACATTTATTTTTTCAGGAGTTGCTCAGACTGAATACTGTAAACCATATTTTTTCAGGAGTTGCTCAGACTGAGTACTATGAACCTTATTTTTTTCAGGAGTTGCTCAGACTGAATACTGTTTATTTTTTCAGGAGTTGCTAAGACTGAGTACTGTAAACCTTATTTTTTTCAGGAGTTGCTCAGACTGAATACTGTTTATTTTTTCAGCAGTTGCTAAGACTGAGTACTGTAAACCTTATTTTTTCAGGAGTTGCTCAGACTGAATATTGTGTATTTTTTCAGGAGTTGCTCAAACTGAATACTGTAAACCTTATTTTTTCAGGAATTGCTCAAACTGAATACTGTGTATTTTTTCAGGAGTTGCTCAGACTGAATACTGTAAACCTTATTTTTTCAGGAGTTGCTCAGACTGAATACTGTAAACCTTATTTTTTTCAGGAGTTGCTCAGACTGAATATTGTGTATTTTTTCAGGAGTTGCTCAAACTGAATACTGTTTATTTTTTCAGTAGTTGCTAAGACTGAGTACTGTAAACCTTATTTTTTCAGGAGTTGCTCAAACTGAATACTGTGTATTTTTTCAGGAGTTGCTCAGACTGAATACTGTAAACCTTATTTTTTCAGGAATTGCTCAAACTGAATACTGTGTATTTTTTCAGGAGTTGCTCAGACTGAATACTGTAAACCTTATTTTTTCAGGAGTTGCTCAGACTGAATACTGTAAACCTTATTTTTTTCAGGAGTTGCTCAGACTGAATATTGTGTATTTTTTCAGGAGTTGCTCAAACTGAATACTGTGTATTTTTTCAGGAGTTGCTCAGACTGAATACTGTAAACCTTATTTTTTCAGGAGTTGCTCAGACTGAATACTGTAAACCTTATTTTTTTCAGGAGCTGCTCAGACTGAATATTGTGTATTTTTTCAGGAGTTGCTCAAACTGAATACTGTGTATTTTTTCAGGAGTTGCTCAGACTGAATACTGTAAACCTTATTTTTTTCAGGAGTTGCTCAGACTGAATACTGTAAACCTTATTTTTTCAGGAGTTGCTCAGACGGAATACTGTGAACCTTACACAATGTTGAACTACGCCTTTGGTCCGAAGACAAGTGTCAACTACTCCATTCCCGTAGAAGGTCTGTTTACGTTTCATTTACGTTTTATTTGTTCATTCATTTCAAGTGTCTGTTTTATGTTTGTTCTGTGTTTATTTTTTTGTTTGTTTTGTGCTTGTTCTGTGTTGAAGTTGCATTAGTTTTGTGTTCACGTTTCAACTATTTAAGCTCTTTTTTTAATCTCCCCTATAAAAATGAACAAAGTCGGGTATACATTTATCTCAAACAATAGTCAATTAATTAGAAAAATAATGTTTTATGGAAAAAAAATGTTTATCACAGTGTACTTTGACAAGAATTAAGTTGCAATGTGAATCGTGATGGAAACAGTGTTTCTTTCAGATTTTTACTCCCTGGTTGGGGTGAGGGGGGGGGGGGGGGGGCAAATGAAAATTATGGGGGCCAGGCAATTAAAAAATAAGTTAAAGTATGTATTATTTTCTATTTAAATTTAATACATTGTTATACTTTGTCTGTGGCGAGACATGCCCCCCTCCCTATTGTGCCTGAAAGAAACACTGATTATGTTTAGTAACATGTCGACTGATTAGATTGACACTGTCTAGGATTTCAAACTTGACCATCTACTTTCAGACAAATGGAGCAACCAGTTCCAGAGTTTACATGAAAGTGAAACCATCACCGGGGGGCCCGACCTGCCCATCTTCGCCACGGGGCCCGGGGCTCCAGCCTTCTCGGGCATCAACTCGCTCTCCTACGTGTACCACGCCCTCGTCTTCGCCACCTGCCTGGCTAATAATAGCACCTACCCCCACTGTAAGGCCGCCCCTCCCCCCACAACCACCACTTTTAAACCACAAACCACCGCAGGCATGCTCACCACCCGGAAACCTGTACCCACACCCTCGACCCCACCCCCGACCCTTAAACCGATCCCTCAAACTCCGCGACCCCTGCCATCATGGCCGTGGTTGATCCAGCCCCAACAACAGTACAACCCCAACCCTTACTCCAACCTTGGGGATTCCTTCTTGAACAGCCTGGGCAATGTCCGCCCCATGCAACCCATGCAACCCTGGCAACCCATGCCGCCTATGCAACCCGTTACACCCACACCCCCACCCGCCCAAAACAACAACCCGTGGGCGTGGGCTTCCCTGTTTCCGTTTTTCTTTTAATCTTCTTGATCCTTGACACTGCAACATTTTATATTTGACATTTGTTGTGAAATCACATTGTGAGAGTTGCAACTAGCGAAAAAAAAATTCCACTTTTGAAAAACTGTTTTTTTTTATCAAATTACATCTTCTGCTACATATGAACACAATAATTAAATTTAAAAATTGCCATTAAAATCCCTAAAGTCTCTAATTCCATATGAAATGGTTTTTAAGTAACCTTTTAAAACGAGAAAAAAAATTGCGAATATTCTGAGTTTGACTCGATTTTAGCCCACATTTAATGATAATTTATATTAAAAAATAACAAAGTGTTTAGAAAAAAAATTAAAATTTATGATTTAGTTATCTACTTGATAATTTCTTAATTATGTTTTTAAAAATAATGTTGCCCTTTCTTTTACTCAATTTCACATCAAAACTGTATTCTTAGCCAAGTGTTCATTTTTTTTTTGTTAACTTGTTTATCTTTGTTGATAGACTGTTCTGCCATTTTATGTTTTATTAATAAGTTTTTTTGTTTTTTTTTTTTTTTTTTTTTGTAACGACAAATGTCATATAATCAAACTATTGCATGAGAAAATTCTTCAAAAAAAAATTTATATTTGTGTAATACAGATCTACATTGTTTGAAAAAAAAAATTGTGAAAAATTCTTACATTCCCCACTTATCCTTGTACCTCCGTAATGAACTTAAATTTTTTTAAATTTTAAATCAGAGGACATCCGTTGCTTTAGTGTGTTTCTAAAATTCTAATTTATACCTCGAATAATAACATGCGAAGGTAGGTAACAAGTAAAATGTTCACAGCAAATGTTTATAATGTTGTTTACCTCCCTTGTTGTTATGATTCTAAACTACCAGTGTCCATTTTATTTTTTCTACTATATTTCTATTAAATGTTGTCATTTAATAAAAGTTTTTTTTTTTTTTGGCGCGGGTATGTTATAATGGGTTTTCTGTAAATAGGGCGACACTTAAAGGATAAAATTAAAAGCAATTAAAAAGATTTCTCATTCTGGCTTGTATTGTCCTACTTGTAAGTTGTATTTGTATCTGCAGTAGGTAGAGTAACAACTACTCATTGTTTTAGAGCCAGTTTGTAGAATAACAACTGCACATTGTTTTAGAGCCAGTAGGTAACAACCAGTGTTTCCTGCAGAGTTTTTTTTTCGAGGGGGGGGGGGGGGTGAGGGGCCGCTTGAATTTTTTTTTTTTTTGGGGGGGGGGGGGGTGAGGCAGACTAAAATTATATATATTAACAGTATATATTTACTATATAAATATTCAAATATTCCCCCCCCCCCCGAAGAGATGCCTTGAAGAAACTCTGGTAACAGCTACACATTGGCGTAGAACGAGTAGGTACAGTAACAACTACACATAGTTTTAGAGCTACAATGTTGATGTTGACGTCAAATCTTGATGTTTCTTTGTCAGCTGAGGGAAAATTAGCTGTAGCTTGACGCCTCTAGATATTTTATACTGGCTGTAAGCCAATCAACTTAACAACACAATCGGTCAGAAAAAAACACTTAAATCAGTGATTCATTAAGTAAAGAAAATATTAAACCAATACACGAATAAAAAAGTTTTTTTTTTAATCCCAACAATCTATCTGTACACTTCCAGACATATCGCTCCCTCACACTAAGTATCGCTACACTCACACAACAGACCCACACATCAACCTCAAGTATAGATCACATTAACCCCACATTCAACCCACACACCAAGTTATACCAAAACCTCACACCAAATCCCACACGATAGACCCACACATTAACCGTATATATAAATCACAATAAACCCACACATCAAGTGTTTTTGTAAATATTTCACGTTTATCAATATAGACACCACAGCTCCGTATAAAAAAATCAGTTGTAAATATAATCTAAAGGTAATTTACCGATGATTTACTGTAGTATTATACACAACTTACTTTAAAAATAAAAACAATCAAAAAATGTTTGAATAAAACATCACACGACAAAAGATCCAAAACACTTTGCATAAAACATCACAAGACAAAATGTCCAAGTTATAATAGACGACTAGATTAGTGTAGTCGTTTCTTCACTTTCATTCGCAGTTACGCTAAAAGTTCAAGGTCACTGTGTAGAGCGCACTATTAAAGCAAGTGCAAGGTCATTTAGTAGCAATAGCTACCACATCTTATAGAATCTGGTCTTTGTATAGCAATAGCTACTACATCATATAAAAGCAGGTCTTTTTATAGCAATAGCTACCATATCATATAAAACAGGTCTTTGTATAGCCATTTCTACCATCTCATATAGCAGCTCTTCGTGTAGCCAATACTACCAGATCTTATAGATACAGGTCTTCGTGTAGCCAATACTACCAGATCTTATAGATACAGGTCTTCGTGTATCCAATACTACCAGATCTTATAGATACAGGTCTTCGTGTAGCCAATGCTACCCCAGCTGGAAATGACGTCTGCAGCCAAGGCTACCGGGGTGTAGCCTTCAGCTAGTCGATAGCCGTCTCGTAGCGAATGTCTGAAGTCGTGAACTTCGAGGGTTCGTCCTTCTCAGCGATCTGGAAGGACTGGAAGCTGCCCTCAAGGGAGGTTGTCTTGACAACAAACACGCGAGGTAGGGCGTCTTCAATGGGGGGCTCTGTACTGGCGCTCATGATGTCCGACTTTTGGCTGTGGGTAGAGGTGAATGGGGGAGGGGGTGGATAGGTCAGTGGTGAAAATATAAACGTTCGACTTCTAATACGAAGGGGACGGAGTGGTCTTACTAACCCGTAAGTCTCGAGCTCGAATCCGGGTTCAAGTCAGTAGAACGTCCATGAGTCCAACCATCTCTGATGGGTACCTAACTCACGTTAGGGAAAGTAAAGGCGGCTGGACATAGTGCTGACCACACTATCTCTTCATATGCCGAGGTCACAGAAACAAGTGAACTATACTTCACTTGTTTGAAAAGGGAACTTTACTTCACTAACCCGAAAATATGTTGAGTTGACTAAAGCAGTTGAACTCTACTTCACATGCGAAATGGACTGGAAAATTCGAAAGAATACTTTACTTGACAAAATGTTTTGGCTTTGTAGATCATGTTCACTTGAGCATGGGACTTGTCGGGCGGTAGAGCGATCGGTTACATAAACGAAAGTCTCGAGTTCGGTCCCAGCATCAGGTGAACTCTACTTCATCTGGCAGCTGGGTTAGAAAAGGTTCTACTTTTTAATACATGAACACATAATACTGTATTGTCCTTGCTGATTTACATAATTCTTTGCCTCAGTTACTTCTCCTTGACAATCTACCAAATTTCACCTAGAAAACCTACCAAACCTACCTGTTTTACTTAGAAAACCTACCAAACCTTCCTTTCTCGTGGAGAACCTACCAAACCTACCTGTTTTAACTAGAAAACCTACCAAACCTACATGTTTCTCCTGGAGAATCTACTAAACCTATACGTTTTACCTATAAAATCTACCAAATATACCTGTTTCAACTAAAAAACCTACTAAACCTACCCGTTTCAACTAGAAAACCTACCAAACCTACCTGTTTCACGTAGAAAACCTACCAAACCTACCTGCTTCTCCTAGAGAACCTCCCTGACAACATGATCATGGGCAGTAACCTCTTCAAATGTGTTGGGTGGATTTTGTTGAGTAGCTCGCTCGCCCGTTCCCCCATGGTGGGTGGGGTCGTACTCTCGGGCTGATCCTTGACGATAGACGGTGGGTGGGGGTCACGCCTGTAACACACGGGAGATTAGGATTTATACAATTGTGAGATTAGTATTATCCCTCAGGTGAGATTAGGATTTATACAATTGTGAGATTAGTATTATCCCTCAGGTGAGATTAGGATTTATACGATTGTGAGATTAGTATTAGCCTTCAGGGGAGATTAGGATTTATACGATTGTGAGATTAGTATTAGCCCTCAGGGAAGATTAGGATTAATGCACAAATGAGTTTAGATAAATACGCAGATAAGATTAGGATTAACCCATGGGTCAGATTAGTATTTAAATACGTTGTAAAAACTGTAAATAAAATATATGTGCAACACGTAATTTGCAAGTCAAGGGGTGATTGTGGCCAGAAAGTTGCGCAATTGAAAACTGCGCAATGGAAAAATGGGTTTTGGTTTTCTTAAATCGAGTAGATAAAGAATGTACAAAGAATGACAACATGTAGGCTACACTGTAGCATAATAAAACAAATCCCCACGAAAACATGACAAAACTATTGCGTAGTGGTATAATTCGTTTGTAGTAATAGTAAAGTTCCCTTTTAAAACCTGACGGTCTATAGGGCAAGTGAAGTAGAATTCACCTGTTTCTGTGACCTCGGCATAGGAAGAGATAGTGTGGTCAGCACTATGCCCAGCCGCCTTTACTTTCGCTAACGTGAGTTAGGTACCCATTAGAGTTGGGTGGACTCAGGGACGGTCTACTGACTTGAACCCGGATTCGAACTCGAGACACACGTGTTAGCAGTCCAGCTATCTACCGCTAGACCACTCCGTCCCCAATTCGTTTGTATTTACACTTATTTTCTGGGCACAGGGGGGGGGGGGGGTACATACCACAAGTAGTCTATGGCCAGCTTGCTGTGGATCTTGTACGAGCTAGTGGGTGTACGGTTTCTGGAAACAGGGGGAGGGGAGGGGGGTGGGGGTACATACCACAAGTAGTCTATGGCCAGCTTGCTGTGGATCTTGTAGGAGCTGGTGGGTGACGGTTTCTGGAAACAGGGGGAGGGGAGGGGAGGGGGGGGGGGGTACATACCACAGGTAGTCTATGGCCAGCTTGCTGTGGATCTTGTAGGAGCTGGTGGTGGACGTGTCGTTGAGGCTGTAGCTGACCTTGCGCGTGCTGACCACGGCCGGCATGTCGCGCTTGAAGATGTAGCAACAGCACGTGACGGCGAAACGGATGAGGCGCGGACACACGCAGCGCCGCTCCACGCTCGTGATGAAACGGTTGAATGCTTTTCTGGACAGGGCGGAGGGGGTGGGGGGTGGGGGGGGGTATTAAGGTGTGAGTTGTGCGTGCATTGGTGGAGCAGTTAAGGCAAGGAGTTAGGGTTTTAAAACGGAGTTGATGATAGCTAGAAATGTGGTTGTGGTTAGAGTTGGAGCTAGGTCCCCAGTTTTCGCACGATTTGTAACACCATGTCTCACATCGGCACAGAAATATCAACGAAAATAAAACCACCAAAAATTGTCACATTTTAGCCGACCCTTCGCATAAAGTTGTATTTTTTTATAAGGGATGTAACCTGGATAGGATAACTGTGTTGTATTTATTGAGTAGATTCCCTTTGTACAGAAATTACTATCAGCTATGAATAAACTACACAAATTTTTAATCAATAAGTACTTATTCAACAAACGCAAATAAGCTTGTAGTATGAAAAAAAAAATTCTACCATCTCGCTAGTATAAAAAAAAATAATTCTACCGTCCTTCTAATGCAACGCTGGACGCACCTAAAGGCTGGAATCTTCCTGGCGTAGGTGAGCGGGTCCAGCATGTTTTTCATGAGCACCGTCCACTTGATGAGGACAAACCACTCCCAGCTGATGGTGCCGGGGTGCCAGGTGTGGGCGGTCAGCAGGATGCAGTAGGGGGCCCAGCAGCCCAGGAAGGTGAAGGTACGCCAGATGACCAGTAGCTTGGCCCGTTTGATCATGTAGCTCTTGGCTTCCTTGACCCGCAGGAACTTGGATGGGCTGGACTGGAGGATGCCTTGGATACTCTGGGGAGTAGGGGGGAGGGGGGGTGTTGGTAGAGGTGGGAGTGGGTGTGGGGGTGTTGGTAGAGATGTTAGTGGGAGTGGGGGTGCTGGTAGAGGTGGGAGTGGGTGTGGGGGTGTTGGTAGAGATGGGAGTGGGAGTGGGGGTGTTGGTAGAGATGTGAGTGGGGGTGGGGGTGGGGATGTAGGTAGAGGTGTGAGTGGGGGTGGGGTTTTTGGTATAGATGGGATTAGGGGTGGGAGTGTTGGTAGAGGTGGGGCTTGTATGGGGTGTTGGTAGAGGTGGGAGCAGGGGTGGGGATGTTGATAGAGAAGGAAGTGGGAGTGGGGGTGTTGGTAGAGGTGAGAGTGGGGGTGGGGGTGTTGGTAGAGATGGGCGTGGGAGTGGGGGTGCTGGTAGAGGTGGGAGTGGGGGTGTTGGTAGAGATGGGAGTGGGAGTAGGGTTGGGGGTGTTGGTAGAGGTGGGAGTGGAATTGGGGGTGTTGGTAGAAGTGGGATTGGGGGTGGGATGTTGTTAGAGGTGGGAGTGGGGTGGGTGTTGTTAGAGGTGGGAGTGGGGTGGGGGTGTGGGTGTTGGTAAAGGTGGGTACAGGGGTGGGGGTGGGGGTGTTGGTAGAGGTGGGAGCAGGGCCGGGGGTGTTGGTATAGGTGGGTACAGGGGTGGGGGTGTTGGTAGAGGTGGGAGTGGGGGTGGGGGAGTTGGTAGAGGTGGGAGCGGGGGTAGGGGTGTGAACGTTGGGGGTTGTATGGTAAGGGTGGTAGAGTTGGATACAGAAAAAAAGGGGAGGGGGCTAACAATGTGGGTTGAATGGAGTTGTTGCTCCTACTTACGGCACTCGATTTCCGCTGCGGGGTTGAAGGCTGGTCATCCAACCCAATGACCGACGCTGACCTTGAGAAGGTCACCTTGGACTGTTTTCGGAACTTGGGGATTTTCTGTAGAGCGGTCAGTTTACGGAACAGGAAGATGTTGATGCCTATGACGATGGCGAGCGGCACTACTGTCAGACAAATCTGTTTAAGGGGAGATAACCAGAGAGAAATTTACCAGTTAAAGGGAAGTAATGACAGAAACATTTACAAGTAAACCGTAAGAGGGGACGTAATCTGAAAAAAATAACTTTAAATATAAAAGAAATTAGGGAATTTTGAATCATGTTTTTACAAGAGTTGGGCCTCGAGGACTTTGTGTGGATCATGTCAAAACTCGGTAGAAAACTCAATGATGATTTATACAGTGAGGCAGCCAAAAGTGGACGCTCTGTCACATTAGCTACACGACAGATCCAGATACTAGGAGCACCTTCTCATAAAAGGACCAGTTCAAAAGCTGATTTTTTTTAGTGTGACTGTAGCGCTCTAAGCTTCTATACCAACCTCTAGCTGTACTATCCCTTGATCAAAATTACAGATTATATTGTAAGTATTAAGCGAATACAACACTCATATCAAACTCGCTTATTTTGTTTGCGTTTATTAACTACCAAGTATTTATAAAAAAATATATACTATTTTCGTTCTAATTCCTTTAGGAGAAATTCACCATCTTTTATTACGTATTCAGTAAAACTCTGAACAGCGACTGGTTACATCAAAGGAATTACCCCGGAGTCAATGCACCAAAGAGCTAACAATACTTACATGGATGAGTTTAGCTCCCGGGAGCTCAGCCTCCGCGGCAGGGATGCAGTGCTGGACGAAGGTGTTCTCCCTCTCGGGGCCGACAAACTTGCTGTTCTGCTCGGCCGTGACGCTGGTGAAGAAGACGACGACACACCAGGAGATGAGGGTGGTGAGTACCGCGCTTGAGATGCTGTACATGTGCCGGTACTTGGAGCCCACGATGTACAGCATCAGGCGGTCGATGCTGGAACGACGAGGGTCAAGGTTAGGGTTGGGACGACGAAGGTCAAGGTTAGGGCTGGGACGACGGGGGTCAAGGTTAGGGCAGGGATAACGCGGGTAAGGCTAGGGCTTGGATGAGGGGCTCAAGGTTAGGGGTGGGACGACGAGGGTCAAGGTTTGGGTTGGGACGACGAGGGTCAAGGTTAGGGCTGGGACGACGGGGTCAAGGTTAGTACTGGGACGGCGATGGTCAAGGTTAGGTCTGGGACGACGAGGGTCAAGGTTAGGGTTGGGACGACGTAGGTCAAGGTTAGGGCTGTGATAACGAGGGTCAAGGTTAGGGTTGGGGCGACGTAGGTTATGGTTAGGGCTGGAGCAACAAGGGTCAAGGTTTGGGCTGGAACTATCAGGGTCAAGGTTATGGTTGGAACTACGAGGGTCAAGATAAGGGTACCAAGGCATGAAACAACGAAGGTCAAGGTTGGGTCTCAAACAAAGAGGGTCAATGTTAGGGCTGGAACTACGAAGATCAAAGTTAGGCCACCACGGATGAAAAAAGGGGCTATAACAACGTGGGGTCAAAGATAAAATTATAACTACGGGGGTCAAGGTTAGAGTACCCCTATGACTAAAGCACATGACCTACAGGCCGTAATCACTAACCTGAATTACCTTATAATGAGGGTCAAGATGCAGCTCTCGATAGCACAGAGAAAGTACATGTAGCTGACGACCATGCACGCCGTGTTGCCGAAGTGCCACACGTCGCTGTAGAGGTTGATGTGGTAGGGCAGCATCACGGTGACGGCGGCAACAAAATCACAGAGGGCAAGCTGGAACACCTGGTAAGTGTGGACCTGGGGGTGGGGGAGGGGGGGGGGTGAGACGAAATCACAGAGGGCAAGCTGGAACACCTGGTAAGTGTGGACCTGGGGGTGGGGGAGGGGGGGGGGGGGTGAGACGAAATCACAGAGGGCAAGCTGGAACACCTGGTAAGTGTGGACCTGGGGGTGGGGGAGGGGGGGGTGGGGTGAGACAAAATCACAGAGGGCGAGCTGGAACACCTGGTAAGTGTGGACCTGGGGGTGGGGGAGGGGGAGGGGGTGAGACGAAATCACAGAGGGCGAGCTGGTAAGTGTGGACCTGGGGTGGGGGAGGGGGGGGGTGAGACAAAATCACAGAGGGCGAGCTGGAACACCTGGTAAGTGTGGACCTGGGGGTGGGGGAGGGGGGGGTGAGACAAAATATATTTCGGCACCCAGGAGGAACTATGAAAATTGCACCCCACCCCAAAATTAGGTCTATATAGGCCTATATTTATTCGCGATGGAATGGTCGAGGCTCTTTTTACCAGTCACTTTGCCTTTTTAATTTCGTGTCACATAACAGAAGTAAAAAACTATTAAATAAGTTCCTAATTTAAATTTCGAACATTTTAATAGGGCTTGTGAGTCTCGTTTTCCCTCACTTTGAATTAGAAATATGTCCTGGTGTATAGAGTTTTGTAATGGCGGGGTATTCAATGTATTGTCACTTGTTTGGTAAGTTTTGATGACTCGTTTAGATTTGGGAGTAACGGCGGAAGGCTGTTGCTGATATGGTTTCCTAGGTATAAAGTATCGAAGTGCTAAAGTGTCGTATTTTTTATTTGGCTGTTGTGTAGTTGAAGGTCTAGTGGAATCTGATTGGTAGTAGAGAAATGAGAATGCAGGTGATGAAGTATCGTAGTTCTTGAGTTTGGGAGTATTGATTTTTGTGGTATTAAGGTATCGAATTATATTGACTGTTAAAGTGTAGTAGTAGTAGGTCCAGTGAAATCGTTGTTGATTGGGAGTACCATTTGTAGAGCTTTGTGAAGTAAACGAGTTGGTGGCGTAGTTCTGGAGCATCGAGTCTAGTTATGATATCGAGTCGAAGTTTGTGAATGTAGTATAGTATATCGAGTTGTCGAGTTTATCGTAAGTTAAATTATTTAAGTTAAGACGGAACACACTACAAAGAAAGGTAGGCGTTATCTAGTTGAAAAAATCTTTAGTTTTTTAGGAATCGAGATTGCCGCTCTTAAAGTATTAATATTTATTAAATAGGATGGAATTTATAACAAACTGTACACCTTGTTTTTTTTCAAATTATATGTTTTTTATATTTAATCAATAGTTCTAGAGATGTCTAAAGCAGTTACCAGTTACCAGTGTTTTATATTTTGAAAGACATCCCTTTATATAAGGGGATCCAAAAATTTAATCTAAGTTATTATTGTAAACGAAAAGATTTTGTATGTCATCAAAATTGTATAAAATTATGTTATAATAAAGCTAACGGTTTTAGATTTTCAAATAAAACCTACAGTTAAGTATTCAATAGGTAAAATATATTGTTTTTACAACGATACTCAGCTAATATAAAACATTTGTTATAATGTTTATGTACTGAAATTTAGAGCTTTTATTTGTGTTTTTCAAGCATGTCTTAGTTACACTTTGTTAGTTTAGCTATTCTTGTAAAAGTTATTTCCCATGAAAAAAATTTTGGTATTTGGATTTTCAAATGGGAGATAATTCGTTGCTAAACTCTACGTTAATTTCAAATTCCTGCACCTTAGGTTGACCGCTTGCTTATAAATACAACCTTAAGTTATTATTTGCTATTGTAACAATTATATAGAGATTAAGTTCTAAACGAAATAGTTTGGTAGGTTTTTTTAGCATTATCAAGTTGAAAAACAAATACATCAGTAGCCGTTATAGATTGCAATACTTAATGTTAATAGACATACACAGTGGCGTAGCGAGGTCGGGTGTTACCCGGTGTGGCACTTAATGATATCTTTTCACCCTCCCAGGGGTGTAGCGGCCCTTCCTGGCGCCCGGGGACAAACTTTCAATTTGACGCGCTCTCTTGATCAACCTTTCAATTTTCGATTTGCACACTCCCCCCCCCCCCCCTGCTCAAACTTTCGATTTGCACCCCCCCCCCTCCATCCTTGTCGGGATTTGTCAAATTTGCTCTTAAAAGACTATTTAACACTCGAATTAATCACTTAATTAAGTGGAATGATCATTTTTCTCTATATATTTTGCTATTTTTTGCCTTGGTGTCACCCCCATAAATGGCGTCACCCTGTGCGGTCCGCCCCCCCCCCCTCACTACGCCAATGGACATAAAGTCTTAGTCGTATATTAAACATCTAATTAATTGTTTTTTTTTTTCATATTTTTCACCCTCTCCTAAAGGATTTATATATAACAATTTTAGTCTGGAATCTATAACATGTATAACCTTTTATTTTTCAAAACCAAAAAATCGTTACATAATCACACAATATAGACACATTGGTAGGGCTGCATAGAGCCCAATACTACAGGAACTTTTTTAGTGGGATTATCCCCAGACTTTTTTCTCCCGGGAGGGGGGGGGAAGCACTTAAAATTTTCTAAGAGGGGAGGGAGGGGGGGGGGGGCTATGTCGTAAAGTACAAAGTAGACTCGTGCACTTAGCAACAATTTCAATAGAATGTGATTACACTTGCAAACTGGAATTAAAGGAATTAGTACAAACTTTTGAGATGAAGGAGGCTAGTAAAATTTGATTTAGATGTCTGCTCATAACGTGTATGCAACTGATAATAAATTGATATGTCACTTTTAGTTAATTGTTTTCTTATAAATATGTTTAAGTAATTAATTTGTTTGAAAGGGGGCGTTTTTATAAGTTTTGCCTAGGGCGCTAAATAACAGGGCGCCGGAACTGAGGGTGACAAAATGGTGACAAACTTGTAGAGGGTGACAAAATGGTGACACACTTGTAGAGGGTGACAAAATGGTGACACACTTGTAGAGGTTGACAAATGGTGACACACTTGTAGAAGGTGACAAAATGGTAACACACTTGCAGATGTTAACATATGGTAATTACTTACTGTGTTTTTCCTCCCGATGCAAACGTACAAGCACATAACGAGAAAGTTGCCTACCAGAGCGTGAATCGTCATAAACGCCGTCTGAAGGGGGGGGGGGGAGGGATGGATGGAAAGTAGGATTAGATTAGATTATCTATTGTAATGGATAGGTAAAAGTAAGGATTAGATTAGATTATGTATTGAAATTGCTTGGTAAAAGTAAAGGTAAGATGACCCAAATATAATACACTCTTATTGGGTATTTAAATCTGAAACAACGCCTAAATGCTGTCGAGTAGGTGTAGGTGAAGTAGAACATGTGTACTTTTGTTAACTCATAAAATTTGAGTTGAGTGGTTTACTCTTTTCCACCTGATTCTAATAAAAGCAAACAGGGCGCTAGCTTGGCCTTAAAGATAGCTAGACCCAAGCTAAAGTGTATCTCTACAGTTTCTATGCAGTATCTTTATCTGTACAGTATCAATATACTATCTATAATATTCTATACAGTATCTATACCGTATCCATACAGTATCTTTATTTATAGATTATTTATACAATATCTACATAGTATATATGCAGTATCAATACAGTATTCATACAGTATCTTTATTTATACAGTATCTATACAGTATCAATAAAGTATCAATAGTCTCTATACAGTATCTATACAGTATCTATATAGTCTCTACAGTATCTATACAGTATCTATACGGTATCTATACAGTATCTATACAGTATCTATATAGTCTCTACAGTATCTATACAGTATCTCTACGGTATCTATACAGTATCTATACAGTATCTATATAGTCTCTACAGTATCTATACAGTATCTCTACGGTATCTATACAGTATCTATACAGTATCTATATAGTCTCTACAGTATCTATACAGTATCTATACGGTATCTATACAGTATCTATACAGTATCTATATAGTCTCTACAGTATCTATACAGTATCTCTACGGTATCTATACAGTATCTATACAGTATCTATATAGTCTCTACAGTATCTATACAGTATCTATACGGTATCTATACAGTATCTATACAGTATCTATATAGTCTCTACAGTATCTATACAGTATATCTACGGTATCTATACAGTATCTATACAGTATCTATACAGTCTCTACAGTATCTATACAGTATCTATACGGTATCTATACAGTATCTATACAGTATCTATACAGTCTCTACAGTATCTATACAGTATTTATACAGTATCTATACCGTCTCTACAGTATCTATACAGTATCTATACAGTCTCTACAGTATCTCTACAGTATCTCTACAATATCTAAACAGTATCTCTACAATATCTCTACAGTATCTATACAGTATCTCTACAGTATCTCTACAATATCTAAACAGTATCTCTACAATATCTCTACAGTATCTATACAGTATCTCTACAGTATCTCTACAATATCTAAACAGTATCTCTACAATATCTCTACAGTATCTATACAGTATCTCTACAGTATCTCTACAATATCTAAACAGTATCTCTACAATATCTCTACAGTATCTATACAGTATCTCTACAGTATCTCTACAATATCTAAACAGTATCTCTACAATATATCTACAGTATCTATACAGTATCTCTACAGTATCTCTACAATATCTAAACAGTATCTCTACAATATCTCTACAGTATCTATACAGTATCTCTAAATTGTAGGTGCAGTATCTCTACAGTGTAGGTGCTGTACTACTTCCAGTATAAACTTACCACACCAGTGAGGATAGACCATGTCAGTCTCCATAGTATCTCTACAGTGTAGGTGCTGTACTACTTCCAGTATAAACTTACCACACCAGTGAGGATAGACCATGTCAGTCTCCATAGTGTCTCTACTTCGTCTATCTCCCCCTCAACGTTGCTGATATCTGGTTGGTGATTGGCCAAAACAGCGGGTTAATACAGCTATTCTGATTGGCCGGATTAATTAACATAATTTATTTAATCCGCGCAGAGGCGTATCGACCCTTCCCGGGGCCCGGGGACAAACTTTCGATTTGCATATCCCCCCCCCCCAAACTTTTGATTTGCACCCCCCGCCCTCAAACTTTCGATTTGCACCCCCACCCCCTCAAACTTTCAATTTGCACCCCCACCCCCTCAAACTTTCGATTTGCACCCCCACCATAAAACTTTCGATTTGCCCCCCCCCCCCCCCGCAAAGTTTCAATGTATTTTTCCAACCCATTTTGGCGCCCCTTAAGGTCGGCGCCCTGGGACATATGTCGTCGTCCCCCGCCCCCCCCCCCCCTAGCTACGCCTCTGATACCGCGCAAGACTACAGTGAGACACATCAAAAGAAATATCAAGTTTTCAACAGGTCAGGGACTATTTAAATATGCACACCCTCAATAAAGACCGATAAACATGACATATTATTATATAATGTCTATGAGGAAAGTAGCACTAACAGTAAATTACGAAGTTACCTTTATCCTTCACCTGAAATTTCCTCTATACCCCCATCCCCTCCCAAATAAAAAAATAGGAGCCAAATGAATTGACTAGAGAGCCCTTACACTCACACGCCCCCCCCCCCCCCCAAAAAAAAAAAAGAAGACTTACTTTTTAATTGCACGCGGGTCAGCTGTCCGAGTCCATCAATTTTAGCCATGTAGTCACATTGTATGTCCGTCCCATACGGTCCAAGTTTCCATCCTACGGAGCCGGATATTCAGAGTCGCTCGCCCCCTACGTAGCACTCACAGCTGCGCGTGCGACGCGGTCCTGAAGTACTCATTCAAGCTGTCGTTAGTAGAAGGTCAAAGGTTAGTAAAACATGCGGCCATTTGTTTTTTTTTTAAATAGATACTCCGTGACCATGTTGTCTATTGGCCTTAATTACATCTTGTTTTTGTGTTATTTTTTTTTTTGACTAGGTGTTGTATTACTGTATAATATCAGGGGTCTCCAAACTACGGCCCGCGGGCCGTATGCGGCCCGCGATGTCCTCTGATAGTTAATGCGGCCCTCGGACTGAAAAGTTTGGAGACCCCTGCTGTATATGATTGAACTTGAGCTTCATCATAGTATCTTTTTTTATCTGAGTATCTGTTCGCGTCGTGATAGAGTTGAAGACTAAGCTAAGTTTTGTACTGCCAGTTTTGTCCATACATTTACTTGGACTCTACCCTCAGCCCAGTCGTAGCGGTACTCACCATTTAAGGCAGGGGTGGGGCACTATTACGATTAGGTTAAGGGTTTTAGTAAAAATCTAGGTTTACTGAAGTTAGCAACTATATTAGTGTCTCTCACATTCCTTTTTTCATTACTATTACAATCAGCTTTACATTAATCATATATGTATATATATATATATATATATATATATATATATATATATATATATATATATATATATATATATATATAAGCCTACTCTTATTTAATTGCTATTTTTGTTGTTTTTATTATGCTATGATAAATTATAATAAAATTAACTTTATCATTAAAGTTTAGTAGGCGAGACAATAAAATAAACTATTTTATACTTGAGGTTTAAAGATATAAATCTTATATACCATATAAACTAAATAACTAAATTATAATTAATAAGACAGTTTTTACTTGAATGTGCAGTTGCTTCTGTGGGACTACAACTAAACTCCAGGGTTACTCCATGTTTTTTTGGTCCAGCTAGTTTCAAAACTGAAATCAATAAAGACGGTGAATATATTAATATTATACTGTTTTATAGTTTTCCCTTGCCAAAATTGCAAATGTATAATTAATTCTTAAAACATTAATATTTTGATCTATGACTTTCTGTCAAATAATTAATTTATATGTAAATTAAAATAAATGCTGATAAAAATTGAGTTTTATATTTTGTTTGTTTAAATCCATCACAAATTTAAGAAGTTTAGTTTTTTAGTTCTTTTATTTAGATCAATGCAATTTGGTGCGCACAAAATATCTTGAAGCACGTCATGAACTGCGCGCCATTCGACTCACAGCTAAGTCTCTAGTTCGCTTACCTTACGTGTCTGTGTGGTGCGCAATGATTCCTCAAGTTCTTATATGCACCTTACCTAACTCAAGCTAGGTAAGATGCAGGCGACTGGGTATGGAACTGACCTCAGTATCTCTTCGTTTGCTGAGGTCACTGGAACTCATCTGGTCTCTCCAGGCGGAGTATGTCTTCTTTAGTAAAAACGACAGATTCTATCATATGCCTTTTTATTTATATGTCTGTAACATTATACAAGCGTTGCTGAAATATAACAGCTAAACAATTAGCACAGATTAATAAATAGAAAATTTAAACCACGATGTAGCCAACAGAAGTTCAATTATAATTATTCGCCTCTTACTGTCTATATTTCATACTCCTAAATTTTATTTTTGACTTTTTTATAAAAACGAGAATAAAATATAATTAAATAAATATGTATAACAAACTAAAATAAAGAAACCTTTTCGTTGGAACTAGCTTTCACAATACACACAAGTTTTTTTTTTCACAATTTCTTTTGATCATTTTTTTTTGTATTAGATTATCTAATGTAGACGTTATGTTATTATAACACACGGAAATCTACGTTCACAAATATATTTACCGAAACTCATATCAAAATTACAAAAATTACAACCAACACTCTGGTCAAATGAAATAACTTTATTTTGAACTTTAAAATTATTATTTAATACAAGGGAGACAACATATATTTTTGGTCAGTAAATCATTTATTTACTGGCTTACATCCCTTGAAAAACTGCGCGTGTGAAACGTGTAAACATTACTTACAGGAATATATTGATGCAACACATACATAGACATAAATACAGAAACATACACATTTTAATTTACTGATTTATTTATTTTTTAAATCACACATAATTTTTTACACATATAATTGTATATTTTGCCGTGACTCATAACATTTGTGTTTATTTACTTCTAAGGAGCCTTCCCAAGGCCACTATTTATAAAAAAAAAAATTAGCTGTTTTCGCTCTAATTCGTTAAGGAGAATATTCACTATTTTGTATTAGGTATTCAGTAAAAGCTTAAACAGCCACTGGTTGTATCAAGGAATTATCCTGGTGCTAACAGTACAACATATTCTAGGAACGATCTACATATTTAAATATAGATCACACTTTTCAATCGAAATGTCTAACAGTATCTTCTGAAACACTCGTAGTCAACAAAAGCCCCCGACCTCTCCCTTCCCCCTCCGCAGGTTCAGCTTTCTCCCCCTGATCTGACATGATAACGCCATGTCACACTGTCATCACACGTGACATCAGACGTCATCGGTTCTCCATCACCGGCTATCGGACTAGCACCTCTCTGTCACAAAGCTCAGGGACGGCTGATAAGCCCCGGGCCCCTCAACACAAGTGTTGACAGGGGCCACACAGCCACTTTAGGGGCCACACAGCCACTTTAGGGGCCACACAGCCACTTTAGGGGCCACACAGCTACTTGCAGGCGATAACATGGCTTGTTCAAGTGTTCAACTGTCGTATTTGATTCGTCATTTTTTTTTTAAATCCCAAATTTAAGAGAAAAAAAATAGACCATGTGTTGTACGGAAGCGGAAACGGCGGCCTCGGATTTTTTTTACATAGCTAGTTACACTTTCACCCCAAGGTTAGGTATACATCCACCCCAACTCAAGTTAAACATCAACACCAAGTCTTGTTATACATCAACACTAAGTCATGTTATACATCCAGTCTAGTTATACATCAACACTAAGTCATGTTATACATCAACATTAAGTCATGTTATACATCAACACCAAGTCATGTTATACATCACCACAAAGTCATGTTATACATCCATACCAAGTCATGTTATACATCCACAGTCTAGTTATACATCCACCCCAAGTCTAGTTATACATCCACCCCAAGTCTAGTTATACATCCACACCAAGTCTAGTTATACATCAACAACAAGGCTAGTTATACATCAACAACAACGCTAGTAATACATCAACAACAAGTCTACATCCACCTCAAGTCTAGTTATACATCAACAAACAAGTCTAGTTATACATCAACAACAAGGCTAGTTATACATCAACAACAAGTCTACATCCACCTCAAGGCTAGTTATACATCAACAACAAGTCTACATCCACCTCAAGGCTAGTTATACATCAACAACAAGGCTAGTTATACATCCACAGTCTAGTTATACATCCACCCCAAGTCTAGTTATACATCCACACCAAGGCTAGTTATACATAAACACCAAGTCATGTTATACATCCACCCCAAGTCTAGTTATACATCCACACCAAGGCTAGTTATACATAAACACCAAGTCTAGTTATACATCCACACCAAGTCTAGTTATACATCCACACCAAGTCTAGTATTACATCCACATCAAGTCTAGTTATACATCCACAGTCTAGTTATACATTGACACCAAGTCTAGTTATACATCAACACCAAGGCTAGTTATACATCCACACCAAGGCTAGTTATACATCAAGTCTAGTTATACATCAACACCACACCAAGTCTAGTTATACATCCACCCCACGTCTAGTTATACATCAACACTCAATCTAGATATACTCATTTTAGCTTTTATACGTCACATTGAGAAACCACAATAAACACCACGTACATAGTATGCTAGTGAGTGGAATGCGTGGTAGGGTGGGACAGCGTGTAATTACCAACTCCAAATGTCCAGAGTTCGCACCCCCGGGCCGATGAGGCCCATAGGCAGGGGACATTAACCCATCTATCGGAGACAAACTCCATAATCAAACAACTGCTGCCTTGTAGATTATTCTTTGGTGGATAATGCTACGGAAGCAAATCCAGAAAGAAAAACTAACTGATACAACTTATGTTAAGAATAATTGTGTTGGGGGTATCCTCTTCAATAGAACAATTGAGAGCGAAGACGTAATATGTTATTTTTGTTAACTTTTAATTCAAATATTGTACGACTAACAAAGTTAGCACCGGTAATGCCTAAGGTTATATGTGTGACGGGTTGGGTTATATGTGTGATTGGCTGGGTTAGTCGGAATAGTAGGTAGCTACAAAAAAAACAAAAAATTAAATGTTTAACGATAAACTGGTGCAAACAAAAATAAAGAAAGAGGGCAGAGAGGGGGATGGGGAAGGCAGGGAGTACGAGTGGGGGAGTGCAGAGATGGGGGTGGGGGATAGGGTAGTGTAAGGAGGGCAGGGAGGGGGATACTTCTGTTGTATTAGAGGGTGAGATAGCCAGTGTTTCTTCCAGACTTTTTTTCTTCGGGAGGGGGGGGGGGGCTTGAAACTTTCCGGGGGATGCGGGTGCGGCGGACACTTAAAAGTACATATTTTCTATATAAATTCCTTTTCGTTCGGGGGGGGGGGGGGGGGTGGTAGACTTTCTTCGGGGGGGGGGGGGGTCTAATACACTCCCACTCCCTGCAACTCCCCTCCCCCTCCCTAACTTCCCCACCTTCCACCCCCTTTCTCCGAGTAGTAAAAGACTTTACCTACAGAGCTTTACCCCATTCATCCCCGTGTTTTTTTTTATTCAACCTGTGTGGCCGCAGATGATGAGCATGAGGGCCCTTGATAAAGATCAGACCAACATCGATATTGTAGGCAGTTCGGCTCAACCACCCAGCGCACCACGTGATCAGCTCAGCTTTCCACATCGCAAATATCTGCAGGAGGGGTGTGAAGAGCTAAGCCCCCCTCGGGTTCCATTCTCCCCCCCCCCCCCCCCCCCCCCACAACCTCATATAGACCCCGTTTCTCATACCCGTTCTTGACTCAATTCACTCCCATTGTCACATCGGATCTACCTGCCCCTCCCCGTCCCACTCTTCCCTATTGACAGTAACTCCTCCCCTTTTCGGCATCGCCCCGCCCCCCTCGCGAAGATGACGCGATGTCCGTGCCAGGCCGGAGCTGGCTGTCGAACCGGGAGAGAACTCGTGTTTGATTCAAAGAGGGGAAAGAACTCTTCATTATCCAGTTCCGATGACTGGGGCCTATAAGTTCAGCTACCTTTAAACGGGATGACACGTACTGCAAACAGTGAAGATTTGAACCCTTTAAGCATTGAATAAACTTTGGCTACTCCGCTTCTAGCTAATGTAACTGATGCTAAGTTTGATACCCGTACAAATAAAACCAGGTTTTACTAAGTTGATATTCTGTGAATGCGCGTAAGTATTGATTTCATTTTATTTCGTTCGCGATTTATTACAACAATACTAATTACAATACTCTTCCAACCTCGACGAGATGAGATCATCGCAACTAATTAGTGGGTTGTTTTTGTTTCAAAAAATCAAATTTAAATCCAATTACCGGTTTTAATAGCTATCATTAATTTAATAAAAAACAACCCATAAATTTTGTGTTTAAAATCCCGCTTCCTGAAAAATATAAAAAACAGTATAGATCTGTTATTATAGGAATAGATCTAGGACACTAGATCTACAATCTAGAGTTTATTTTATTTTTAAAATGAAGTTAATTATTTTCAAAAACAAATAAGTTTTATTTTTTATTGTTTATCTTGAAATGCGTAGGTGAAGGAAATGCATGGTCTGAGATATGGTATGGATAGATAGAGAATACTTAATTAGGTTAATTGAATTTGAAGATTGAAACTTGGATTTCTGATTTGTAGAAAAACAATACTTGTTCA